ATATGGTCGGCAATCACGGCGACGAGGTTGCTCACATCTTTCCGACCTTCTGTTTCCAAAATGCAGGCCATTGCTTCGCCATGCCAGCACAGCTGCTTCTCGTCTGTCTCCTTATTTACCGGTTGGTACGCTGTATTGTCTAGCAGCTGGTTGACCTCGGGTTGATGTCGGCCGAGTGACGGTTCGCGGTGCGAATCGAATTAGCAATTTGCTTCGGATATCATATTATCATTTGGCCATGGAATCTCTATGTTCCCCCGTCTAACGGGGGAGGGAGAAATCTAGGTAGAAATATCCTTTCCGTATCTCAAACCTTGACAAATCTACATGCGCTTCGGGATAAATTCTTAGTTTGATCGTAAAGGAAGTAAATATTAATTTAGGAACAATCCAATCCTAATATAAGAAAACTTAAAGTAATTCGTCAACAACCTAGCCAGCCGCAAACGTACTCTTTTTTCTCAACGTCTCCCCAAACTTCCACAAAAACACTGGCGCCGGTACCCCAATAACAATAGCAACGAACGCCAGCAAACTGTTCCCCCACCCATATTCCAAAGCACTATACATGTACGGCGCGAAAAGCGGGAACCCAAACCCAGCTAACGAGCGCAGGAATGCACCAGCAGCAAGCGCACTAGCCGCAAACCGTGTGTATGTATCAACCATGTATGTTTGGATACACTGGAAGGCAATGATACTGCCAGTACCAAACAGTACAGCACCGATGTTTGGCGCGATCCAATGGCAGTGGTACTGAGCAGTCCAGCCATAAATGAACAAGCCAACGGGGATAAAGAAGGCGCCGACGAAAAGCAGTGGGACACGGAACTCCGGTTTTCCGACACCGCCATTGCGGGCCTTGAGACGGCGATAGATGCGGTCGTTGAGCGGGGCGCAGATCTGCGAGCCAAGCCAAAAGCCCAGCCCGAGAGAGATGTAGTTCAAACCGCCGATGCCGGTCGATTCGTTGTAGTAGTTTGGGCTTGTCCAGAGGGTGGGGAATGTGGAGAGGACGAGGTACATGATTCCATAGATGTAGGCCATGAATAGGGCGAGGACTTGGACGATTGGCTGGGTGAAGAGGAGGCGGAAGGGACGGATGAGCGAGCTGCGCAGAACCTCGAGTAGGGTCTTATTTTGGCGCTCTGCTTCCGTTTGGTAGGAGTCGTCGCCTGTTTCTTTGCGTAAGCGGACGGCGCGGTCGAGGAGGATTTTCGGGCCGTAGCTCTCGCGTAGGAAGAAGAGGCCCATGAGCTGGATTAGGCCGTCGGTTATTGAGGTCGAATAGAACACCCATCGCCAGGTTGTGTTTTCGGCGATGAAGCCCCCTGCGATGGGGCCAAGGGCTGGGCCCAGGAGTGGTGCAAGACTATAGATTGCGATTCCCTTTCCGCGTTCTTCGGCCCGGAAACAATCTGAGAGAACACCGCCACCGATCTAAATGCAGTTAGATGTAAGCTTTTCTTGGGAGGAGTCTTGGGGCTTGACTTACTGCTAGCGGGGCACTGCCACCTAGTCCAGCGAAGAATCGGCAGACGATCATTTGGACTTTTGTTTGCGATACGGCACACCCGATGTTAAAAACCAGGAAGAAGAGGTTCGCGAGCTGCAGAATTATGGTTCGGCCGTAGATCTCTGAAAGTGGACCGAGAAATAAAGGGCCAACAGCGTAGGCCAGAACGAAGATTGAGAGCATAAGTTGGGAGACTACCTCATCCGTGACTTTCAGGTCCGCTGCTAGTGACGGCAGTGCCGGTGCGACCATTGATGAAGCGACCGGCGAGATGAATGTAAATAGTGATACGGTGATGATAGCAGCCCATTTCTTCTTGTTACTCCAGTTTTTCGGGTTTTCGGGGTCTTCAGGACCGTCCCATTTTACCTATACAATTTAGTACCCAGTACAGATTTGGGAACCTGGAACAACCTACCAGTTTTGGGTCGTGACGAGACTGGTTCGATTTTGCCGTCCTCGATTTCTCAAGGTCGGGCTGTGCAGCATCGGCCTTTTCCAGATCCAGATCGCGCTCGTTGGCAATTCCGTTTCGCACTTCCTGGACAGTATCGGGCTTCTGGTCGTTTTCAATGCCTGATTCGCCACAGTTGGGCCCATCGTCGCTGTGGTATACGGACTGATCATTGAGATGTTTTCCCGAATAAATTCGATCCACCTGAGTCATTCCTGAATTTGATAACGATCGTAGCCTAGTCCTCAGAGAACCAGCCAAGCTCTGAGATCGTGACTGTGTTCTTGATGCCTGAAACTCGGAATCGGTACTGGAAATTGACGTCGACCGTGATCTGGTCAAGCCAGATTCTTTAAGATCTGACATTATGTTCATACGTGAAACCAATCGACAATAATTGAGGAAAAAGAAAGTTATATCTGTAAAGCCAACTAAATGTGCACGCGACACTGAGTTACTGGGAAAGAACGAACCAGACTGCAACAAACGGGGAACGTTTCTATATCAAATCAATAGACACAATCAGACCTCGGGAATTAAATTAAAAAAAATCTTCAAGCAGTCGGCATATTCCCAACCGTTCGAACGGCGATAAAGCAAAAAGGAGCTTAACACCGTCAGAAGAAACCCCACAGTCTCCAATTTGCAATGATGAGCATAGTGATTGGGTAGTAATTAAAGCTTGACACGAGAGTGACCCCTGGCCAGGCCCCATTTGCCCCTCTATTTATCACAAATTGTCTTGAATACCGGCCTGACCCGTCTTCAGTTGTTCATTAGGGCAGTGTCCATGCGGAGAGAAGCCTGAACCGCGCAATATTTGTGGCGTCGTTGGCAGCCTCAGGTGTCAGTTTTCGGGTCTTCGGCACAGGGGTCACGTGCAATGACTTATCGCCAATGCGGTATACCACATTGAGAGATGGTGGGTTCTCCCCGCTTTCGGGATGCTTTCGGGATGCTTTTGATTGGCTGACGATTTATGTCGGTTGCATTGTATCCCGGAATTATGCATCCTTCACTTAGGAATTTGCTGACATTCTAAAGTCCACGTGTGGTTTCTTCGGACGTCCGAACATTTTCGGAGAGTTTAGTCTAGACCGCCGGTTCTTGTTTTGATAACTATTTTTCTGAGAGGAATAAATGTACAAAACAGAACCAAAAGGGCTGTAGTAGTACCCAAAAGCTCCGATCTAAGCTCCGTGATACCCCATTTGACTGGTTGCAATACCCAACTGTGCTCACCTACACATCAAAGTGATGGCGATCAATGATAGTAGCCTGAATCTAGATAAATACGATACTGTGGTGCTGAGTGATTTGTTTCCGAATGAACTTGGAGGTATAAGATCAAAGGGTTTTTTTAAAGGTATTATAAAGACACAAAGATTATCAAGTTGGTGTTTTGTCGCCTCTCTAAACATTATTAACCTTGGAAAGTGCATTCGGCCGGGCCAAGGTTACCTACGGGCGACTACAGGGATCATTATCACATAACTCTCTCATTGGTTATTATTGCCTGGCAGAACCTCGGAATTAGTTAGTTAGGTATGTAGTTAACGTTAGTAGTAATATTGAACCTAGATAATGCCTTATAATGCCTAAATATCTAGATTATTAGGTCAATGATATTTATATCTTAGAAAATCGTACCAAATGTTGACGCTATTCAAATCTCTTGTGATACCCGTGGACCGTGGACCGTGATCTAGTTATATGGTTTATGTTTTTGCCGCCTTTATATATATATGAAAAAGACATATAAAAAGACATCTAGAAAGACAACTGGAAAGACCCTAAGAAGGACATCTGAAAAGGAAGTTGTAGTAAGATATTAGTATATAGCCCTCCGCACCGGCCCATAAAGCCCATAGCCCAACCCGGACCAACCCGCAAATGGGCTGGTCTTTGGGCCAGTCCTTAGGCCTCAAACAATACAAAAATGCCAATTCTTGGTAGATATATAAGTAATGTAAATTCTTCTTGTATTTTTAAGTATTTAAATTACCGTCTAAGACCCAAGTTGACCGAGTCTTTATAGGAATTAAGTCAATCAATTGGCAGAATTGACTATAGATAAGATTTACAAAATCAATAAGAGTAATAAGAGTAATCAATACGATATCCAATGTTTCACTATCTACTAATGATACTCATATTCTTTATCATCAACAGTAAGCTTATAGACCAGAACATACGTAAAAAACATGCATTATTCAGTAGGTTTATGAGCGCTAAGACTGGATTTATGTATAGAAATGGGCTTTGTTAGGGGCCTCATGGTCCCCCACTAATGGGCCATGGGCTTAGTTGGTCTTTGAAGGTAGGGCCCATAGCCCACTGCTGGTTGGTCTATGGGTCTGAGGTCCTGGCCCAACTCGGCCCATTGCGGAGGTCTATTAGTATATGCTTATACATAGTATATGCCCAATATCATATTTTTCTAATATTGAAAATTAGAAGGAAACCTAGGGATAGACCTAAAGCCGTCTAGTTAGAGGTCTTTCCTTTGATAACACGTGAATTTGAGACCTAGCGTGACCTATGAAGTATGTAGGTGTAAAAGAGAAGTTGAAATTAATATACCTTACTTCAAGGAGGCGGTGAAATAGGCTATAAGGCCCTAGCCAATGAGAGAGTTATGTGTTGTGTACGGGGGACTAAGTATGCCACCCGACACATAACTCTTCATTGGTTTATATTGCCAGGCAATAATTTAGATCCACTCTCACTTCACAAGTACCATGTTGAATTGAATCTGAAGTGAATCTGAATTGTATTGTATTATAATGTATAGTATACAAATAAAAGAGAAGTTAAAATTAGTAAATGCTTCAAGAAGGCAGTAATGAAATAGGCGGTGAGATAATAACCAATGAGAGAGTTATGGTCGGATATTTAGGTAGTCGCCCGTAGTTGTGATCCCTATAGACGCCCGTACTTACCCCACACTTTCTTATCTCTGCCCACAGATACGATTGGTGCCGATATCCCCTAATGTCCTACCTTCTTCTGATCTCCTAAAACCAAAAAATGCCACCAGATCGACGAGTGCAGCGAATTGTTCGAGTAAGAACTGGTTGTTTGACCTGCAGGCGTCGCAAGAAGAAATGTGACGAAACACGTCCAATCTGTGCTGGCTGTCAGCGGAATGACCTGGGTTGCCAGTGGCCCCCAGATGTACAGGGCAAGAGAGACAACCGAGAAGACGAAACTCTAGCATCTGTGATAGATGAGCTCCGACCGAATATATTCGATACCATTGAAGGGCTTGATGAAATATCAATTCCTAGGAGTCCCTCATCGCAACGAGCGCCATCTGTTTCATCGAGTGCAGGTCATTCAGTGACTACTAGAGACCAGCCTGAAGATATGCATGAGGAAACCCATAATCAATGCGGACTGTCAGCAGATACCGGGGGTTCCCCTACCAGTGACGCCCTTGTCACCTCTGTCGCAGTGGAAAATGCGCTGCCGCGCAGCCTATCCCTGCTGCCTGGCTATGATGCCGAGTCTTATCAGCTTCTCAGTCATTACCTGGCCACAACGGCCGACTGTATGGCAAATGGCTCCACGCCTGTTAACCCCTTCCTGGTACAGATTGTACCCCTGGCATTTTCTAGTGACTTGTTGTTGCAGCTGGTAATCACTCAAAGCGCCGCTCACCGCGCGTTTCGATCACGGGATGAATCAGACACAATTGCCCACAGTCACTACACAAAAGCCCTCCAGCATTTCCGCCGTGGAGTAACGGACTTTATTGACGGGAAAGAATCGAACCCTCTCATGCTCCTAGTGGGCGCCCTTCTCATGTGTTTTACTGAGGTAGGAAATCCATAATCCAGAAATAATGTGCTCGATAATCTAACAAAACCAGACAGCAAAGGGTGATATGAACGGGACAATATTCGACCATTTATCCGCCGCGAACTCTCTGTTAGTCAAATTGCTTGCCCAGAGCGACTCGACAGTTCCGCGAGACCTGAAAGATTTCGTCATCGAATACTACACCTATACCGCGACCGTCAGCATGATCTCAATCGATGCTCGCTTTAGTGGGCAGCTTTTATTGAACTTAGATCTCGAACAACGGTCACGCGAATTACTTCAGACCCAGTATGTGGGCAATTTGTGCGGTTGCTGGCTGGAATTATTGTTGCTGATCCCCTGCATTTTCGATCTCGGCCGACAGTGGATCATGGACGATACCCAGGCAGCCGTTCCAACGGCTGATGATATTGCCATGTTTGCATCTATACAAGCCCAGATTATACGCTGGTCGCCCTATCCTAATGTCGGGACGGAGGTCCGTCTGGCTGGGTTAATCTTCCAAGAAGCCATACTCATCTATCTATACACCTCCTTAGGTGGGTTTCAATACACCAGGGATGGAATGTATAAAGGCATGGTAGAAAACGCAGTGACAGAAGCCATGTCTTACTTAGGCGAACTGTCGCCTAGTGCGCGCATCAACTCTGGCCTATGTTGGCCGATCGCTCTCGTGGGCTCATGTCTTCTCAACCCCGACCAGCAGGACTGCCTACGAGGACGATTGAATGCCATGACCGAGAAATTTGGTCTTGGAAATATGCATCGAACACTTCTCCTCCTTGAAGCAATGTGGCGATCACCTGCATCCGAGGCCGGACCATGGAATATTTGTCGAGCAATGCAGGAAAACCAAATATGGATATCATTTGCGTGATGTTGATCGTCATTCTGTTACGCATATTATGTAAAAACTAGAAAATCCGCTACCCGCTCATGCAGCCAAGTTCTTCGGTGCTTCCGTCGCCGGACCCTCAGGCGTAACATATGCCTTTGTCAAGCCACCATCGACGACAAAGTCAGTAGCATTCACGAAACTACTCTCGTCGCTAGCAAGGAAGATAACCGCATGGGCCTGTTCAACCGCCTCGCCAAACCGACCGGTAGGGAAATGCACCTCACGACGGAAGCGCTTTTCCTTATCGTCACCAAGCCAATCCTGCAACAGAGGAGTGCTATCTAAATGTCAGTTCCATCAAAAGGTTTAAATGGGGAAAGGGTAAAACATCGACATACTTGAGAGGTGCAGGACACAGGGAGTTGAATCGGAACCCTTCACGAGCATGAACAATAGCCAGCTCCCGGGTTATTGCCAGTACAGCACCCTTACTAGCGGTATACGCTAACTGTGGCGTCGCAGCCCCAACCAGAGCAACCATACTAGCAGTATTGATCACGCTAGCGCGCTTTTTGCCGTGCCTCCGGAATGCGCGCACGGCATGCTTCGAGCCGTACCACACGCCCTTCACATTTATATTCATTGTGCGGTCCCAGATATCCTCGGGACACTCTTCCGAATCTCCATCCTTGGGGTGCATGATTCCAGCATTATTGAAGATGATATCCAGTCCACCCCAGACATCGAGATGAGCGACTGCTGCTTCGATTTGGGATTCGTTTGAGACATCGACTACTTTGGTTTCGACTTTTCCGGTGCGGGTTGACGCGGGCACGACACTTTCCACCTTGGATAGGGCTTTGTTGAGGCCTGCGTCACTAATGTCGGCCATTAGGACGGAGGCGCCTTCGCGGAGCATGAGAATTGTGGTTTCGAGGCCAATACCTCTGCTTCTTGTTAGTTGTGTCTTTTATTGTTTGATTTGTCACAGGGTGGATGGATAGAGCCACATACCCCGCTGCACCGGTGACGATGGCATTCTTGCCTTCAAGACGTCCGACCATTTTGATATTGTGTATGCGTGATAGTATATGATAAACGGAGCTGGGGAGAATGAAACAGTGTGCTGAAACAAGAATGAATAAAAAAGGACTGCAGAGCGTAGGTCCTTGGTAAAGGCCTGGATTTATAGCATTTCCAATCTCTAATCATTCAATCTACACTGTACGCTACGCTGTACCCTCTCCGTACCGGATCAGCTCCCGATATCCAACCCACATAATACATTAGACCCAACCGCGACTCACCGCGCTATAATCCCCCTTTTTCAAGTCATTTCGACCCACAAAGAAAGGTGGTGTGAGTTCGAAGCTCTATCGCGCTTCTACCACCCCGCTGGCGCGGTGAGCTCAACACGCGGGGCATGAGGGGTAGCTATTAGGTACCTAGGTAGATCTTCAACCATTGAGGTGCATGAGGCAGAGTTCGATCGTATTGTTGACTATCTTTGGTGGGGTATCGGGTACGGGTGATTATAGGGATCACCGTCACATAACTCTCTCATTGGCTAGTGTTATAGCCTATTTTATCACCGCCTTCTTGAAGTAAAGTACATTAATTTCAACTTCTCTTTTACATAGTTAACTACACAGGGCTAACATCTTACTAGATCATCTTTTTTGGATGTTCTTCTTAGGGTCTTTCTGGTTGTCTTTTGAGATGTCTTTCGAGTATCTTTCTAGATATCTTTTCTAAGGCATTATAAGGTATCATAGTGTCATCTAGGTTCAACATTACTACTAACTATATAACTGGGTCAAAGTGACTGCCAAGCGATATAGACCAATGAGAGAGTTATGGAAGGTGGTCACTATAGCCGCCCGTAATCGGGCTTAAGGCACCGCGGTTCGGGACCGCGCTATAGTGGGGCTATTTGGATGAGCTTGATACAATATGTTGAGTAATTCAATTCAGATATCCAAGGATATTCAAGAGCTCATATGTATTACCCCCAATTACAAATTTCATCAGGCTATGGTTGATTCTTGTCTTGATGGCTCTGTGTTAAAGTTGTAGGAGTTAGGCTTAGATTCAGGAATAATTGAACAAAACCAATGATATTGAAATTTCTTGAATTGTGCCAGTTTACAGCACTATTTAATCATCCTCAAAACTGTCTACTCATGTCGAGCCATCCTTGACGTGGTAACTCTTCAGCTTCACGAATCCATCGTATCCACGTGGGCCAAGAGTGCATCCCAAACCCGAGGTCTTCCAACCCGTCCAAGCAAGGTCCTAACCTCCAATATTAGCATTATTGAACCAACAACAAGTCTGTTCAGAAGTTGGAGAGATGTCTTACCGGGCTTGGATAGTCGCAGCGATTAATGAATACCGTACCGGCCTCAATGCGATCGATCAACTCCTCTCCGCGAGTGATATCTTTCGTCCAGACGCTCGCCGTCAGACCATAATCGCTGTCATTCATCAATGCAATAGCTTCATCATCACTGGAGACCTTCATGATTGGCATCACGGGACCGAAAGTCTCCTCCTTCATTGTAGCCATGGTATGGTTGACATTGGTCAAAACAACCGGAGAGACAAAGTTACCCTTTTGCATCTGAGGATTGCTCGCCACGTCAAAACTTAGGTTCTGGGGGTAGAGTTAACAGCTCCTTTAGCAATTGCATCCTGGACATGCGCAGTGATTTTCTCCATGGCCTGCGTTGAGATGACAGGGCCTGTGGTTGTGCTTGAATCCTGCGGATCACCAAGTTTATACCTGATTTGAATGTCAGAGAGATATATATACTCTTTTGAGTGTGATCAAACTCACGATTTCAACTCCTCCTGCACGGCGCAAACAAAGTCATCGTAAACATTCTCATGCACATATACCCGCTCAATGGAACAGCAACTCTGTCCGGAATTGAAAACAGCTCCGTCCACAAGCTGCTCTGCAACGTGTTTCACATCGGCATCTGGACGAACATATGCGGGATCATTTCCACCAAGTTCGAGGTTGACGGGCTTGATGTGTTGGGCGGTTGCCTCCCTGAGTCTGATCCCACCTGCAGTTGATCCAGTAAATGAGACAGACTGGATCTCAGGAATTTGTGCCACCTGATCCAAAACATCCAGGTTTCCAATATGAAGGACCTGAAGGACCTGAGGGGGAAGACCTGCCCCGGTAAAGATCTCGAGTAGTCTGTTTCCAAATAGCGGAGTCTGCGGCGAAGGGCGCAATATAACGCTGTTTCCAGCAAGAAGTGCCGGGACAAGAGCATTGACAGTAGTCAGGTAAGGGTACTATCATATTGATGAGCAAGCATGTGGATACTTCAACGAAACTGTTTACTCACATTCCAAGCACCCGCGATAAGTACTGGTCCCACGGGAATACGTTTGACCGTTCGCCGGAAGCCGGTTTCTGGTCGACCAGGGAGATCGGACAGGCTCTCTTCGGCAATATCCATCAAGTACTCGGCGCGCAGACGCATAGTGTTGATCTCTGATGCACAGTACCGGATGGGTCGCCCCATTTGCGCAGTCAGTTCTCTAGCCAGTTCATCGCGGCGTTGCTCAATGATGTCCAATGCTTGTTTCACAATGCCTTTCCGGTCGTCCAGAGAAGTTGTTTTGTAAGACTCAAAAGCTTGCTTTGAGGCAACAGCAACTTTGATAGCTTCTTCGAGCGAAGTGCCAGGCTGGTCAAAAATAACCTCATGGGTCGAGGGGCAGATGGTACGAATTTGGTTTGACATAGTGTAGGTTGTGTATCTAGTCTGGGAAAAAGTGGGAGAGGGGGACTTTATAGTGCGGAGCCGGTGGCGCGGTTGCAGGTCTGACACCTTATCTTTCTTTTCCTTCTTTTTCTTTTTTAATTCTGCATATATGTTGTGCTATTATTCTTTGTATCTCACTCATGTAACAATAGCACTTTATTTTGTATCTTCTCGAATTATTTGGTCTTCGCATCGACTATGAATCTTGCAATTGCCTTCGCTATCAACCGCCCATCGTGGGATTCACCCACTCGGGATAACCCATCCTTGTACAGTTCATCGCCAAATATCCCATTATCATGTCTGGCTTCAAGCAGATATGACATGATACCTTCATTGTATTCCGGATGTCCTTGTACCGACAGCACCTGTCTGGGCAAGTAAAGACCCTGAACTTCACATTTGGGACTTGTAGCGAGATTCGCGCAATCGACTGGAGTATCAAAGACAATATCCCGATGCATTTGCTGGATACTCTGTATTTAATCAGAATCCCACTCGATTGGGCTTGTTTGGGTGTTTCTTCACTTACCAGTGTATCCTTTCCAAACAGTTTCTTCCCTGCCTCAGTCAGGGTAAGCTTCTCGACAGAAACCTCCCACCCAGTTTCGCTTCTGCCAACTCGAGCTCCCAGTGCCCGAGCAAGAATCTGATGTCCGAGACAAATCCCAACCACGGGCTTCTTGTGTGTTAAAACAGTCTCACGAATGTTGCTTGTGAGGTCACAGATCCACTGATCTTCAGCCCAGGCGTCGTGTTCTATCAAGTATAATTAGTCACACCATTCGGACATTGGAATTAATGGTAACGTACTGCTTCCAGTCAGAAGAACGGCGTCGACTTTCTCTAGATCAAGAAATCGGTTATTGTCCACCATCTGATGTTCACTAAATTCCACTGTAATGTCATTGATGTTCTCAGATATTTCCAAATCCTTAAAGGCTTGCCTCAAAAGGGCTTGGAATATCGTGTAGTAGTCGCCATACTTTCTGAGAACAGGCTGGATAGGCGTGTCACACACGAGAATGGCTACGTGAATACGAATGGAAGATGTCATGCTGGAGATGGGTACTTCCATTCTAGATTCACAATTCATAATGAATCAATTCGATGCGATTTATTATCAAGTCTGACTCTCAAATTTTGTATCACAATCACTTCGACAGGATAAGCGCGCTATCTACAACCCCACAGCGCGGACCGCGGAGCATCTCCGTGATAATCATAGCTTCATGACATCCATTATTTTCTTTGCGTGTAAAGAAATTACTATCGTCTGCACCGCGCGGGATTATTTTCGACCTGAGAGATGCGCGGCATTAATTTTGACCACATGTTGGATCCGCAACCTCACAATCCACTATTCGCGCAATTGTATAAAGCCATAGAAATATATCCCTTTCAATTCAAACCCCAACTGCTGGACTTCGTTAGTCAGTCTTGCTGCAATTGTTGAAATTTCCTCATAATGATCACGCCCACCATGATCACTGTCGAATCACTTCCCACCCTTCTCGCCGACGACATCAAAGTCAAAGTCGCCGGTATCGACAGCGATGGAGTGCTTCGTGGTAAGGTTATGGCCAAGGAGAAGTTCCTTGGGATCGCAGAAAAGGGATTTGGCTTCAGCTCAGCTCTTTTCGGTTGGGATATGCACGATATGCTATGGACAACCGATGCACGGGTCGCGCCCCCGGAATCAGGATACGCAGACTTCCTAGCTGTTCCAGATCTGAACTCGTTCCGCCGTCTGCCGTGGGAAGAAAACATTCCTTTCTTTCTAGTACGATTTCTTGATGATACACGCCCGGTTTCTGCAGATGGGAGGAGTATGTTGAGGGGTCTGTGCGATAAGCTTGCGGGAGAGGGCCTTCATGCTTTAGCAGGAGGTAAGTTCAAGGCAAATCTGGCTGAAGAGATCTGAAGGGCTGACACTAGACAGTCGAGCTTGAATTTATGAATTTCCAGACTCCCTCCGAAGACGGATATGGCAGTACAGGCTCCCAGCATCCCAACCTCGCTACTTTCCTAGAGAAAAATGCCCCTAGTGCCCTGCGGCCAATTACAGCTGGCATGTTCTGCTATAGCTCAACGCGACCGGTTGCCAACAAGAAGTACTTCTACGATATTTTCAATACCAGTGCGGAGATCAACTGCGGAATTGAAGGATGGCACACTGAGGGCGGGCCCGGCGTGTATGAAGCAGTATGTCATCCATCCAAGTCATTCCATGAACTCCTCTGATACTTTACATAGGCTTTGAAGGTTTCTGAAATTAGCGAAATGGCAGATAAAGTGGCCTTATTCAAGTGAGTGCCCCGAATACCGCAAATCATCTGTTGCTGCCAGAGCTAACAAGTCGACAGACTCTTAACCAAATCCCTGGGGGTGGACCACGGCGTTACTCCATGCTTCATGGCCAAGCCCATGCAAGGAATGCCAGGCAGCTCCGGACACATCCACGTCTCACTTGCCGACGATGATGGGAAGAACCTGTTTGCAAGAGAGACACCTGAGGTAGACCCTCAATGGTCGGACATCGCACACCTCTCCGAAACCGGACGTCATTTCCTCGCTGGGCTTCTGGAAGCTTTGCCAGATATAATGCCATTATTTGCGCCAACTGTGAACTCATATAAGCGCCTCGTTGAAAACTATTGGGCACCAGTGCACATTAGCTGGGGGCTCGAGGACCGGATTGCCTCAATCCGCCTTATTACAGCACCAGTATGCAAGCCAGGTGCCACACGCTTTGAAATCCGAATTCCTGGAGCTGATCTGCATCCCCATTACGCGCTGAGTGTCATCCTTGCAGCGGGCTGGAGGGGTGTACAGAAGAAACTCGAGATCAAAGTCCCGCCGATGTCTGCACGCACCCCAGGGGACCGTCCAGAGCTTCTGCCGAATACTCTGGACAAGGCTTTGGATCGTTTCTCTGCTCCAGGAAGCATTGCGCGTGATCTTCTGAGTTCGGAGTTTGTAGATTTCTTCACAGCCACAAGACAGCATGAATTGGGTCTTTGGAGAGAGGCCGTGACTGATTGGTAAGTCGGAAATATTGTGCTACCGATGAATGCAATACTAACTCGATTATAGGGAGTTGAAGCGATATATTGAAATAGTGTAAATTTGTAAATTATCGTTGAGCGTTGCGAAGCAAATTGATTTTATGACCAGGTTATTTATATACCAGAACTGTATCCCCGACTTTCCTTTCGAACAAATCAAGTTTAGCTTTTACTGTGCCTGTTTTGTCTTGAACAATTCAAATTTGATAGTTTATTAAACAACTATATCTAGGAAAGAGGACCTCGAGAGACATGAAGTCTGTTTAGTCCATTGTGAACCAGTTCGGACATTTGCCATATATATATCCAGGTCCTCTCCCAATACATTTCTCACCTACCTACCTATACCATATGGTGTGCCGTACAGCAACTACTTCTCTCTGTATATATATATATATATATCTCTCTCTCTATGTGATTGAGATACAAGTAGAAAAAATGACCACTCAGTATGAAACTAGGCCCCAGGGTCCCCACGCCAGCTTATGGCATCACAACCAATGAAGTCTTTCGTACTTGTGCATGTTTCTGCAGATAATAGGCTTGTATGAAATAAGATTTTAAATACATCGGGTACTACTAAGATTTACTCTTTCGCTTCTTTTCGTATAAATAATCCCCATGAACATACAACGCATTCAATGCATTCAGTCTCTTGTTCAGAAGCGCTAAGGCTTTTAGGTTTCCGGGTGCCTTTAGGCCGCCCACGTGATGTTCGGCAGAAACACCGGGGCTCGTCCGGGGGGTTGATAGCCCCAGCATGGACCTCCATGTGTACTCATGTGTATGTACATAGGAACCATCAATTAATAAAGGCACTCTGTTCGCAAAGCCAGCGCGATGGCTTCGAACCTTCCTCTCCCTCTCCCGCCGCGCACTCCCACTCCGCCAGCGGACGACGAACATGCCCCCCCAGATCAACTCAGGGATACTCATCGATCGCAATTCCCTCTCGCCGCTTAAGGCCTCCTTTCCGAAAGGTATCATGAATGATGAAAGCAGAGATACTCTGAGCCCCACGAAGTCCTCTTTCAATCTGGCAACCTCGCCTGAATATGCAGAGACACCGATCGAGAATGGCTCGGGCGAACCATCCCCCGCCGGGCCATTCAATTTCAATACTACCGTTATGGCGAAGAGCCCAGTGATCAAATCGGTGAGTTGAATTGCGCTGATGGCCTGTGATGGTGGTGATGCTAACTTATTGCCTCGTGTTTCAGAACATGGGACAACGTCGTGGCCACAAGTACAAACACAGTAGCATCTCGCACCAGATATTCCTCGAGCCTCCTCCTCGTGCGCCCCTAGCCCTCCCGAACTCCCTTCCCATGCCAACATTTAAAGAGTGCCGATCCAGCATGTCGAAGGACCAAAAGACCCGCTTCTGGTGGAGTCTATGCCATATGTTCGTTGCGGCGTACACACTCTGGACCGCACATGGGTCCCTAGCCATGACAGCATTGTCGCATCTGATTCTGTTTGATTCACTCGGGGCTCTCTTGTGTGTTGCAGTTGATGTGTTGGGCAATTTTGAAGTTTGGAAAAGATCGACTATCCGTCACCCGTTCGGCCTCGAACGTGCAGAAGTTCTAGCCGGATTCGCGATGGCAGTGCTTCTTTTGTTTATGGGAATGGATCTCATCTCCCACAATCTACAACATTTCCTCGAAAAGGCTGGCCATGAGCCTCATCACCCGCATGACCATGATCGGGTTTCTCTGGGTAGTGTGGATGTGACTGCAGTTCTAGCCATTTCATCGACGCTTGTGTCCGCGATTGGTCTCAAGAACCATGCTCGAATTGGGAAGGCTATGCGATTTGGGTATATCCAATCGCTTCCATCGGTCTTGAGCAACCCCTCCCACTTCCTCACCCTCTCTTGTTCAGCTCTGCTGTTGCTTTTACCCCTGGTCTCAATCCGGATCTATGATTGGCTCGATAAGCTCCTGTCTGGCACCATTGCCTTCTCAATGTGCTTCCTAGGAACTCGGTTGGTGAAGACTTTAGGTTCTATGCTTCTCATGTCCTACTCCGGCCAAGGAGTTTCTGATGTCATCAAGGATATTAAAGCCGATCCTGCTGTTTTCGGCATTGATGATGCTCAATTTTGGCAGGTCCATTATGGGCTATGTATGGCAAACCTCAAACTCCGAGTCAATGGTTCTGAGGATAATCTTGTCCGGCTACGGGAGAAGATAACCAGCTTGATTCGCAACAGGCTGGGTGGCGGGTATGGCGCTGGGGGTCAAAGATGGGAGGTATCTTTGCAATTCACGATTGAGCGTGCATAATCTCTTCAATTTTGATGGCCGGTGTCTTATCTGTTCAGCTGTGCACATATCTTTTTCTACGGGCTACGTGTATATTAGGAACGTTTGCTTCATAGCCAACATAGATGCTTCCAAGTCTAAAAAAAAAAACAGTGTTCGAGGTATCTAACTAACGAATGTGCAGTAGCACGTAAGAACCAAAACGCAAACCTCATTGTATGACCCTCAGGTGCAGTTTGCACATCCTCCACGTTATATTCATTGCAAGCAACCGAGTGGTGTTTCATCCAATCACGACTCACCCTCAGCGTCTGTTCCGGAAGACTAAAGGGGCAGAAATCACGCGATGTACATGACGAAGCCCAAGAACATGGAAACAGCATCCGCGGTAACAGAGGTCTGTCTCAGCGAGCACCGAGCAGAACCCGCAAGAGTGACCAATAAACCGAGAACAATGGTGGCGAAGATACGACCTAGTATAGCCCGGGTGCTATATAGTGTTCAAAAGCAACGCCAAATTTCTTTTTAATGAGTTCAAGATGAGGCCAAAAAGACCGTCAAAAAGACCGTCAAAAAGACCGTACTTTTATTGCTTGCTAAACCATGTACTGCTAGGAATCCCTCCCCTTCTTCTCTCCTTCCATTGCCTATAGGTCTGAGACGAAGTTGGAAATACAATGTCTGTGTTGGGGACCGATTGCATATGAGTTTCTGTGTACTATTACTACTGATGTTTCTGGGCGGTAGAAAATATTATGCTATCAAGTATTATATCATGGGAGATATAGCCCAGGAAGTCCTCGGTAATACCACGGAGATATCCGTGAATCAAAACAAACTAAGAATACATAAGAGACAATAGCCGGTAAAAGAATGTAGGTATCCATCGGCATTCCAAGGCAATCCCGACAGTCATCATTGCATAAAAATCAAGTTTCCACCTTCTAGGGGAAACCCGCACAAGCCAGCTTGAAGGAGACATAGCCAGGCTCGAGGATATCAGGGAGACACTGGCCCTCGGCGAAGGGGCCGTGTTGGAAAGGCAGGAAGTGCACAGGCTTGCCAGAGCAGCCGTCGTTGTTCCAGATGGTCACGCCATGGCAGAAGATGGTGTCCTTGGTGTCCATGTGTGCGCGGAAGGAATAGTTGTCGATACTCCAGTCACGGTTGACGGTGGTCTTGTCGCAAGTCACGGGAGTAGCGCTCACATCGGCAGAGAACTTGGGCTCGCCAATTGCGGGGTGGCCAACGTCACACTTCTCCCAGGACTGGAAGGTGACGCTGGCGACAGGGAAGCCGGCGTAGACTGTCATAGCAAAGGTGGCCGCGGTGGCAAGGGTCTGTGTTGTGTTAGCAAGTTGATTACATCGGAGTGTATATCATAGAAGGGTGGAATTACCTTAGAGAAGTGCATCTTGGTCAGAGAGTGTGGTTATTTAGTAAATAAAGTAATTATCCGGTTAGGAAAGGCGTTAAAGAGAGTATCGATGGTCTGAGAATATTTAGTTTGAGGAATCTGACGGGGAACTGCGTCTCATGGGATTTAAGTATTGGCTCCCAAGAAGCAATGGCACGCGACTATCGTGGTTGGGTAAACATTGTCTTAACGCACGACCTTTTCGAGCATGTGGAATGTAGGAATTTAATTGAGTATTTAGTATTTTGCAGCAAAGGAGCAAAGGCACTGGAGGGAAGGGGAAAACATTGAGGGGTTGGAATGTGTATGGGAAGATCAAAACAGGGTAAATGTTGATCTCCCACAAGAATGAAGCACAGGGTTACCCATCTTTCCAGTTTACCTGTTGCGTTAATTGTAGCAATCCTCACCTAATTGTATACGATTGTCAATTGGGCTTGTGGTTGATAGTAAGTATAGAGCTGCAGCACTAGGAGGATGCAGGGCAAAGGAGCTGCTACCCGTAGCTTCAAATTTCTTTGGATAGGCAGGGCACTACTTATTACGTGACTAGAAAATAGCCATGCAGTTAGGCGGACTAGACACTCCCCGGGTACAGTTCAACGGACTACTCGAGATAAAGAAACTCCAACGACCTAAACGCTTGCACGTCGCAGCCAACTCCTCCAAATCAAACATCTCTCCAATAGGAATACCCCAACCAGCCAGAAGATAATGATGCAAATCAAACTCTGGGTTCAAAGCCGGGTAAACCTCAAAGCTAACAGCATCGGACGCAACAGCCGCAAAATGATTATCCCATATAAAGCGCAGCACCCGCTCACTCTGTTCGATTCCAGCATGTTGCGGCATGCCCTGCTGGCTGTAAGCCACCCGATCTTCGGCCGACATGCGCTCCCACGTCCCAGGCAAGCCAACGCGCAAGAAAAAGATATCGCCTTTCTGGAACTTGATATTGCATTCGCGCGCGATCTCCTGCACCTCATCTAGTGAGATCATCTGCCGGCTTAGCGCGTTTACGCTGATACCTTTCTTCTCCGCATAGGAGACGTAGTCGATTAGCACGCCACGCCCAGCAATGCCCTTCTTTGCCCAAAATCCGATGCCAATCCGCGACGAGTTCTCATCTAAAATTTCCTTTGCGGTCGTGCCGCCATAGAAAAGGCGTCGGTCTTGGTCGTCTGATGTTGGTGCTGGCGCATTATGGTGTCGGAGGCCGTCCCACTGGGAGGACTGCTGTGGGTTGAAGTGGTACTCGTCGTCGAAAGCGACGCCCTCGGCGACCCATTTGACGCGGTGCTCGAATGGTTTGCGCCCAAACCCTGGTTTTTCGAGTCGTAAGTTTTATGGTTTTATTTTATTATATTCGACGGTTAGGTGCCCTTGTTTTACCTGCTGGGGTCAAATTCTCCATGTTCCAGTTTAGGCATACTCGCTCGCCGGTCTGAATTTGCGTTCGCGCAGCTTGAGCAACTATATCGGGCGTTAGAAGGCGGAGCATTCCCAGTCCCTCTTCTTCGGACTCTGCAGCTCCAGGCCAGAATCGACGCTTGTCAGGGAGATCATCAAATGTCTCTGGGAGGTTGGGAATGCCGGACATGGTTTAGGGTAGAAGGAGTGGATTGGGGAAGCAGATTAGGTGAACGACTTCAAAACTTCAAATAGCATAAGCCAATCTACGTTGTGAACTCGATAAAACATGCTAGACCGATTGATGATACGGTGTACGGGAAAGCCGGCTGACCGCTCGCTCACCGCCTAGCTCCTACTAAGCCTATTTCGACCTCGGGATGAAGAACTCTTAATGATAACTAGTTATATCATAGTTAACTATGTGTTTAGGTCCATCTTGCTCACATTTCCATCTAGCATCGCTTCCTCTTAATACACCGACCTTTGATGAATCAGCACTGTGCAAAGATGGTGCCTTTATACCTTCAGCTCGAAGGTCGCTACCGTGACCTATTGGAGATTTGTGAATCCCTTTCGAACTTGGACGGCCAAGTTCTCACTTATGAGATGGTTGAGCATCTAAGTATCGATTTTCGTCACTTAGATATTGATAATGGTGCGACATCCGATTTAGTGACTCCTTACTTCCTTCCACGATCATCATTTCCTAGTTGTCGTGACATGGGTGGGGATCTCAAGGACTGGATGTTCGAGGTGGGACAGGACCGGGCCAGTTACGGGGAAAAGTCGAACCCACGAATCCTACAGAGATTCTTTCCAGCGGCCCTAAAATTAACACATGATGCTTACGCTTGTGGGATGAGTAGAGATTTAGAGCGCCTTATCTCCTATTCGAAGTAAGTTGATCCCTATACTAAGCCCTATACTTCTCTAGGGCCATCTCCTAATAACTAACAACTAATGTAGAATTCTAGAATTGCACAATATAGTTGGGTGACGGATAAGTGAGTGTCCTTTGCTAAACGCTTCAGAAATAATAGAAATTTTATGCTAAAAACCAAATAAGCGCCTTTGAATATGAAATCTATGAAAACGTGCCACGGCGCCGTCATTTTTTTAGACGCCGAGTTAGATATACGACCGACATCGGGGAAAAGAAAGGACTTCCATTATCACAGTCTCCGAGCCATTGTGTGGCTGATGTTGTCGTCTTTGATTGCCATAAGGGACTACCTTCAATCAGTGAAGTGGTTGCAGTGATCGAGGAAATCCTAGATGCAATGAGGGCACAAAGGAATGAACTACGAAGTATGACGGATAAGCAAGGCCTGACAACGTTTCATCATATATTACCGGTTTGCAGCATTTATATCCATTCTACAAACAAAATCACTAACCACAAGTTTTAGAGAATGGTCCGACTATATGATTTGTACGGGCATTGCCGCCTACTCTATGCTTATTTTGATGGTAGGCTGAGGGTTCAGTTTACCGAGGTCCTGGATTTTACACCATTCGCAGTCGAGCCCCCACCTGAGAAAAACTACTTTGATATCATCGACTTGTCTAAATACTATGACACGATTGATAAACTGCTAAAATGGGCGTGGCCAGTTGCACAAGGAGATACTAGCAAAAGGAGGCTTGAAGAGTGTCAAAACTAGTTGGATTATGCCGTTAATACTTGATTGTCTAGGCCAGGGTATATATACCCTGCTTTTGCTAGTAGCCAGACTAGAACTTATAGTCTAACTTTTAGCTCAACTAGTTATTCAAATTGTCAAATTTCTTAATTTCATAGCTTATCTTCTTCAATCTCTAATCTATCTCTCACATTCGCCATTTTCAGGAAGGACTACGTCAAAAGTGCATAGTGTAATGTGAGATAGATTGGAGAGTTGTGGACAGAGCTAAGAAACCCGACAACTATGCTCTTAGGCGTCTCTGTAGACCTCTTCCCTAATACCTTTTCTAGCACCTCTCCTAGCAAGGCTTGAAAATTTAAGCCAGTGATGGTTTTAAATCGACAATTGAGCTCAAACCAAGCTTGATATTACTTTCGTCCTTACTTGGTAGTCATGTATCGATATTCATTAGGTCGCTTTTGAAGCCTGAATATTGTTTCAACCCACGGATAGCCCTTCAGGCACAATAAAAAACGAAGTAGAACACTATGGATACAGAAAAATAGAAAGGGGCATATAGAAGAAGATATAAGGAACAAACAAGAGGAAGAAAAACATAGACCAAACACAAGGCCGTCTTCTCTAGATGAGTCAAAGAGATAGCACTTCAGGGGAAGATAGTTGTTACACTGATAGCTAGGGAAGGCAAGATGGGTCCGCGCTGCCTAAGGAGACAGCGGGCAGGTGCCGCTGACTAACTACTACTATGGTCCACGGGTAACTAATGTAGAATCTATTGATGAAATATTGATGAGAAAACCAAGCAGATAGATTCGTAGTAATGATGTTGGACAAGGAGAGAAAGGAAAGAAGTGGAGAGAGGAAAACTATTCTACATGATGGGGATCTGTCCCATGTGGGTCCGTTCGTGCCTGAGGCACCCAGGCACCCAACAGTAACACCTGGCGGCAATAGTGCTAGCCTTGTAATCCATATCCCGTTGCAGAGTAACACCAACAACAAGGGGAGCAAAACGTAGCATATGCTTGAAGTTGAAGATATTGAATGGCCCATATAGCTTGAGCGTCAAGAATGCAGTCTGTTCGGCGCCCTGGGAGTGGTCATCGAGTACGTACTCGAGGTACCCAGGGCCACATTTCCCAACGACGATCCACATTTCGTGACCGTGTTGACAGAACATATATCTTAAATATTAAGTTAGTAATTTCCTTATATATGCTTTCACAAATTCTTACCCTTTCTTTTGATGATGTTCTTGATGGCACTTGAGTATCCATGCCATCATCTCGATTCCCATTTGCATAAGCGCCTTTTTGGCATGACTCGCCAGGAGAATAGATGCTTTCACCTCGACGATAGCTTCTGGCTGGACGGATGGATTTGAGCACCCCAGTTGACCGTCATAAGCAGCGACTATTGAAGCCTTGCCAAGAGTCACCTTTGACTGGGGACTATCAAGGGACCATTGCAAGTCAAGATTCCCTAGTTTAAGGCACCAAGAGTGTAGAAGAAAAATGAAAGTTGATTCAATCAACTTTTCGGAGTTGACCTGTTCACTCGTTTGAGGTACCGTAGCTGATTCGCCCGAAAACTCTTTAATATGGCGGGTGAAGCCTCCTGATTCACCAGAGCCCTCTTTAGGATTCTTGGTATTGCGTTTGAGTCCAGAACACTCGGAATCGGAATCACTGTTCAGTCTTGGGCTTCCCGCATCTCTTCATCTTTTCGCGTATCCAAAGTGTTGACAGGTGGGTTACGGCTCCTGGTGTTGGCAGAGGGCGTATCGTCAGACTCGTTTGGTCTCTCTTTGTCCCAGCGAATTATGAATTGGGGACTGCGAATGGTTGCAAATGGACCAAGATCGAACCTGTCCCAATTTCAATCCTTGGGCTTAGTTCCACCATAATCTTCGATATCGTTCGGACTGTAGGAAATAGACGTAACGAGTCGGGACTGGGTTAATTGAAGTTGCGAGGGACTGAAGGTATGAGATGATGTGGAAGCAGAAGTAACGAGTCAGGACTGGGGAAGTTCGACAATCTCCTGCCACCTATTTGGCTCGATGACTGTTATTCAGTATAATTAGCTTTGGAACATATCTCAATAATAACATGGGCTTACGGCTTGACCCAGGTATTGTGTTGTGAAGTATTCAACTGACACGAGGGGCGTATTTATATAGGACTTGCGAAAGGTGTCTATACCGAAGAAGTATAGCCAGGTAAATGTTTCTCGGATCCAGGCAAGTCACAGCTTGGGGAGGGTTGCCCACAAGAAGAAATGAAAAGAGCCACACCCTCCTAAGAGAGGTGCATTGATAAAAAAAAAGGGAAACTAAGCTCTCCAGGAGAGCTGGTGTGGAGGTTAGGGGGGGGGTGGGGGGGAAGGTTAGGAAGATGAGAGATGAAATGAGAAGGATGAGATGAGAAGGTGGTATTTATACCTGAGGACTTGGTATAAATACCCAAGTATTGATGTTAGTATAGGCGTGCCTTCCTCTTGGGTACCTAGGCATTCTACTTAGGTAAACACATACACACCTGGGCATGTATACACACACCCATCTACAGTACAATATAATTTAATTTAAATTCACTTCAGATCCAATTCAGATTCACTTCAGATTCACTTCAGATTTACTTCAGATTCACTCCAGATTTACTCCAAATTCACTTTAAATTCAATTCAGATTCACTTTAGATTTACTTTAGATTTACTTCAAATTCACTTCAGATTCAATTTGTTGTCGTCTTTTCTATGAAATTTGCTTCTTTTTCTCCCTACTCCTTTCATCAACTCACTTCATCTCCGCCGTCCCTCATCTTCCTACCCCCAACCCTCCACACCAGCTCTCCTAGAGGGCTTGGGTTGGCTCAGACCTATCGACGAACTTGGTGTATTCGAGATTGTCCCATCAAGCACCCAGACGCGACAAACTGGGCTCATCTCCACGACCCAAGCCTCGATTGGGCCGGCCAAAAAGTGATAATCTGGATGCGGCCCCCAAGAACCCATCGTGAAGAGACACGAAAAGGATATCTGATTGAGGCAATCCGGAATGAACGCGCTGAGCACCTCAGAGTCATTTGATCGTCACACTGGCGCAACCAAACGTCTTCTCCTGTCGAAGAACAGCTCAAGGCGACTGATCAAGCCTCGAAGGTCACGTTTTTTGGTGATCGGGTTGAAAACCTAGGAAGGGGATTCTCATTGAAAAAGACGCCTACGGTAGAGAAATGAATCCATATGGCCCAGCGTATTTCGAACTCGATATGCGGCAACCTTCCACTCTTTCCTCGTCAATCAAAAATCTCAGATAGACAAGATTCTATCTCAGGCCAACCTCGACCCCTTCCAGCTCGAAGCTTTCACACAGTCGACCACGGCAATTCCTGGCGGGCTAAAGATCATCCTGGCGCATGCAGCCATGGGGCTTAAGGTTCTAATTGCTGCCGGATCCAATAAAGCTGTTGACAACCTGGCGGCCGCTGTGTACGCGCGGTTGAAAAATCCCGAAATCCGTCAATGGTGGCCAATTCGTACGCTTCCGATCGCCCACGCGGCAGATGGCTGTCCTCCGCAAGGATAGCAAAAGCGAACAACCTGTCCGCCAGACGATTGACCTCTCTCCGGCAGAGATGGCTATGCGCAAGTGCCAATTGTACAGTCTGGTGGAATCCTATATATATATAAAGGCCGGACCAAGCTCAAGACGAAGTCTCCGCCTAGTGGAGAAATCTAATTATAAAGGATCGGCAAGACTCTGGAAACCCTCAAAGCTGTCATCTTGATCGGTGACCCCTATCCTTCCCCCAACGGTGATCTCCCAATCAACAACGAAGGTGCCAATTACCTGGTCCGCTCCCTCTTAAGTCGACTCCACGATGCTGGCTACCCAATTACGCAGCTGGAGACAAACTACCGATGCCACTCCACTATCTTGGAGTTGTTTAATGAGATACTTTACGCAAAGTCGCTTGCACTGGGATCGCGTAACGATGATTTGGAGCGTGTGGGATCTGCCTGAGATACCTTCACCGGAAGCCGGTGCTATTCAAGGAACAGGGCCTCGCAGGAGTCCGGCGAATGTTCATTAGTGTGCCCGGCTTAGCGGAGAAGACTGAGGGTGAAACCTCCTGGGTGAATTATGCCCAGGTTCGAACTTTGGTCGATACTCTGAGAAGCCTTTACCGCTTCCGAGCCCCGTCAGGCGACCAAGTGCAAGGGCAAGACGTCATTATCATCACGCCGTATCGTGCGCAGCGGAATCTAGTAAAATGTGTCCTGGACAACGAGCAGCTTGCCCACCAAGATGTTCTCACCGTCGACGCTGCGCAAGGCCGAGAAGCCCCTGTTGTGTTTCTTTTGTTGACAAAGAGTAGAAAAGCAAGCTTCCTCGGAAAACTGTTATTCGACGTTGTGTTACAACCTGCCCCTGGACTGGCGAGTTACAAACTAGGCCAAAAGACCATTATATATGAGCATTACGCTCAGATATACCAGGCATATATAGTGCATGACATGACACGTTTTGACCAAGGGAAACGTGTTGACCTGGGTCAACCGTAACACTGTCGAGGCAACGAGCCGAATCCCGAAAACGAGACTGAGCATCACCGGCGTCACCAAGTGGTTTCCTGGCCTGGAGTGCGTAGCGACCTACGTTCCACCAGCCGGAGAGCTTCCACTCTCATGGGACAGCCCTCCGCGAGTCGTCGGCCCCAGATGCACCACGAAAGCCCGCCGAGATCCCCTCAACGTTCCCCTCGGCCTGTTAGAGTTCGCTCTCCGTTACCTCCGTATAGCCCGGGCCCGGAGGGACAGCCTGTCGCTACTTCCAGACTGCCGGCACGTTCGACCGCAACAACAAGGCCCGAAAACGGCAGGAGGTGCATATGCTCCCGCCTCGCCCCCCCAGCACCTTTGCCACACCGCAGCCAAATCCAGCGCGGTCAACTCCCCGCACCAGCGGATCCCGAGGAAGAGAGATTGCTCCTACACATGGCGGAATTGCAGGTAGATATCCATGCCCAAGAGAATCGAGCGGCGATTGCATCACGCGACAGAAGCCAAGCCGAGTTGGAAGCTGTACAGCTTCGGTTGGATAGCTACCGTCGGGAACGAGAGAGGAGAAATGATCGGGAACGGTCACGCAGTCCGCGTAAGAAACGCTGAGTTAGCCGCTTGCAGTTTTTCAGGACCTCCCTTGGCCTCTTTGTGGCTCTCAGGTTTTCGTCCCTTTGTTACTGTGAAGCTCGGTATAGCTCCCTAGCAGAAGGCAGAGTGTCATTGATTTCTTTTGATCATTTTCTTGCTTCCTCCTCCATAGAGAGTCACATAGATCACATCATGTCCATCAGTCTTCAACTTCAAAAAGGCCAACCAGAGTGAATCTTCAAGTACAAAAGCTCCAAGAGAAAACGGCAGGGCCCTACAGCATCAGATCGGGAAAGCGTAGGAGTATGAGCCTGATTTTGCAGGCAGGAAGAGTACAAATATCAATCCCAAAATATATCCCGCCACTGTAGGCTTATGTTAATATAAATAGTAAGATTGCGAACCTAGGAGAGATATTAGTATATAGAAGTAATATATATGCTGCAGCTAAACAAATTCCAAATCGAGATAGAATCAAAGCCAGACCTCCTGTTCTACCCAAAGAGATTGTACCATGTAGTGAAAAGTCCATTGTTGTATGCATATAGTACTGAAAGCAGAAAGTAAAGTACATGGTGGTCGCCAGAAGAGTAGACCACAGCAAGCAGAAAAGTTACATGTCATCCAGGTCGTCATTAGCGTTCGAGCCGCCCTTTTGCATATCCGACATTTCATACTCTTCCTTTCGGCCTGGAGATCCAGCACGCTCCCCAGCCGACATAGCAATCGCCTGGCGGCCAGTGTCAGAGGATTCTAGGAACTCGCGCAGGCGGCGCTTTCCTTCTTCCAGAGCTTGCTGGGAGGCTGCTTCGGTCATCTTTAGCATGGGACCCCACAGGTTCAGCTGATAGGTGATGTATGCGCCAATGGCAAACGCAAATAGCAGGATAAAGTAAGCCGGGTTGCGCAGGACTAAAGATACGTCAGTAATCAGTATATGTGAAAATGAAGAATCCATCAATGAAAACTCACCAGCCCAGATTTCATTCCAGCCTAGAGCCAGCAACAAACCGTAGAAATACAAGGGGACCTGTGTCATACCGCCGATGGCGCTCCGCTTGGCCTCGACGTAGACACCGTCTGCGGCCTTCTTAAATCGTACAGTGAGCTCTTGGCGCTTCGTGTCGCTAAGAATTGTCATCTCTTCTTCCAAACTCTTGCCCTCGTGTTCGTCCACACCCCCAATGGGGGCCAGATCTTCCTCATCCGCAGGTGTCGCGGTGCTTGGAGTGTGTCCAATCCATCTGTCAAGCGGGGGTGGGGCAGTGGTCCTTTCCAGGCGGAAACGAGACAGAAGAGGAATCACCGTCAGGGTAGACTCGCGCGCACGCGTGTAAATTCCCTCGATGTCATCAGTTGGGCGCCAGATGCGTGGCACACCGGCTTCATCATAGCGGAACTTGTCCTCGAAGTTCTCCCGAAGCTTGAGGAGCAAGTTGCCCTCAATCATCTCCTCTTCAATCTTGGCCCGGAGAACACCCCAAGACTTACGGCGCAGTCGCCAAAGGCCAACATCGACCTCATCAATGCTAGCATCGAAGCTACTCGCACGGTCCGTGAATCTCCGCTCAGCGTCCAGAACAGTTTCTTCAAACAAGTTCCAGATCCGATCCCAGAAGTCTTTCTCTGTAGGCTTCTCCCCGTTCTCGGGGGCACCACCGCCAGCTCTTCCAGACCCAAGGGCATTGAACTCAAGGCCCACAGATTCACCCAGACGAGATTGAACCCACCGCTCGACGCGGGTGGCCAGACGTCTCATTTCGTCACGGCGCAGTCGGGCACTGACCTCAGCCAATTCTTTCTTATACAAAGATAGCTCTTGCTCGTAGTTGCTCCAAGGGGCTCCATCCACCAATGTGGAGCGGGCGACTTCCTCGAACTTCTCCAACGAAGACTTGGCCTCCTTGGTGACGATTTCGGCGAAGTCGTAGCTACCGCCCTTCTTCTGGCCATCTTTCACAGCAGCGCTAACCGAATCACTGAAGTCACAGATTCCTGACTTGTGAGCTGCCGACATCTGGCCGTGGAAAAGTGCCTTGAGGCGGGTATCGACCTTGCCCTGAAGCTCAGCGCTTTTCCTTTGGTAAACACCCTTGTGGTATCGGCTTGCTTCCGTCTCAAAACTCTTTAGGGTCTTAACGCGCGCAGCACGCATGGCAACACCAAGTCCCCCTAGGACCTCAGGTGCACCAACACGCACGGACTCGGCCTGCTTATCTTCAAATGCGACGATCGCCTCATCGAAGCCGATCATTACCTCGCGCAAAATTTCGTCACAACGGAATTGCGCAAGCAGCTCCTGCTGTGTGGGTAAATCCAAGTCCTTATTGTTAACGATCTGATCCCAAATTCCCTCTGCATAGTGTGAGAATCCGTCGGCCGGGATGCGGCGATGGTACTCGGGGAGGAAAACTCCTCCTTCGGAGAACTCGCCCTTCAGGGCATCCCTCTTTGGATCTCGGTGACCTTCTCGGAAACGCAGGCCAAGCTTCTTTGTCTCCGTCACAAACTGGTCCGGTTGATAACTCTTATGCGGCAGTCCGTAGAATTGGAAATCAAAGTAATCGTGAATTGTCGACTTCTCCAAACCCGCCGGTTTTGATATAGTGTCCCAGAGACGGGAGAGGTCTTCCAATAATGTCTTCTGTAGGTTCTTGAGTGGCGTGGTACCGATGAAATCACGAATAACGAAGAATAGGAGGGACCGATGAGTGGTACTGTAGAGATATTAGCAGCCAAAACGCATAGAGAAGATGATGATCAGAAGGATACATACTGTTTATCCTTTAGGAACAGTTGCAAGTTCACTTCGAACACGGTCTTCAACAACCCCATGTTGGCTCCTTGGTATAATCCCACCTGGTGTTCCCAGATGTTGACAATAAGGACCTCGCTCGTCGCAAGCGCAAAGAGCGCACTCTTGCGCTCGAAGTCTTGATCTTCACCTCTCTCGCGACCGTCAGTTCCCTCCACGTCCATGACCAAGATGTTATCAGCCATGCGCTCCGCCGCGCCAGCTTCGCCCTGCTTCTTGTTGTTTGACAGCCAGATACCCTTGGTTGTTTGCCTTCTCTCTAGTTCCGACATAACGGAGAACTCGGTACCGAACAGGTGGTTGAGCAGTGTGGACTTTCCGGTGGATTGCGAACCAAACACGGAGATGAGATGATAATTGAAACCAGCCGACGTGACATTCTCAAGGGACAGGTATTTGGACAGGTTGGGACTATAGTGATGCGATTAGCATCTAAACCTCTATAAATTAGATGAACCATAACAACAAGAGGTGGCCATACTTGAACTCCTTATTCCCGTCAATCACCTGCACGCCGTGCTCATACGAGGCAGTATCACCTTCGGCGCCGATCGAAGCAAAATGGTCATTTGAGAGAACAGGCGGTGCAGTTGGACTCCTTTCCAACCCCGAGGGGCGTCGTTCAGCCATCTTTATGTTCCGTGCTCTGTGTATGTTCGGGGGAGGGGGAGGGAGGTGTTGAGGTGGCAAGAGCGAGTTGAGATAGCAAAGATAAACTAGGATCTAAAGAACCATGCAACAGGAAAAAAAATCAACAGACTAATCAAAGGGGAAAAAATAGGAAGGATTAAGGGATCACACTGTCGTTTCACGGGGTTCATTGAGATGATCCCGAGGTGGATTGCTGGGGAAATCCGTCTTACATAAAACCCCTTTAACCCAGCAACGTCACTTCTAGACCACTCCATCTCTGGACCTGGTTTCTTGTATTCTATTACCTTTGACCAGCAGAATATTTATATATTTATATTTAGATATATATATCATTCCTTCAACCGAATACACATATTGCCATTCTATCTTACTGCATACACAGATTCCAGACAGTTAACCAAAGCCACAAGGGTATCGAAGTTCATGGTGGGGGCACACCATCTAACCAGTTCAGATTCCAGCCCTGATCGAGTCCGAGATCAACATTATGGTTTGGCCACATGTATTGCCCAAAATCATCGAACAGTCCACTAAACGCGTTGAGCTCCAGGCCAACATATGGGTTTGCCACTGTTTCACTCCTCGGAACCCATGACTCGTCTGAATATCCAGACGCCATCGTGGGTGTGAGGGAAGCACCGTTCAAGACATCAGTGTTTGTACTTGGTGCACCTTCAGGGTCAGACATTGGTGGTGTATATAGCTGACTAGGACATTGTCCCGGGCAAGGAGCCTCCGTCCCCATTGTGCCTGATACTACCGATGTCTGCTCCTTGTTCTGGGGGGCACCAGTGGAGAACTTGGTTCCTGCACCGACCGTAATAGTACCAAAATAGGGCACTGTAATCTTGCAACTCGAGATGCTGCTCCAATCGCGCTCGAAATTTCTAGTGTCATGGATAGCGCCGAGGATGTTCGCCGATTCGGCAGCAACTGAGCCTCCTAGTTCTGTTGCCGCCTGGCGAAGAATCTCAACGACCTTCTTTACCATATCCCAGTCTTGTTCATCTTGTTCTTTATTTTGATCTGGGTTCTCATCGGAGTAGCCTTGCAGGTGGATTATCAAAAGAAGACATAGCGTGAAGGCCATAAAGTCGATCATTTTGCACAAATAGGGCTTGATGTTGGATCGAAGGACGTTATATAAGACGAGTCCTTCTCTTGCCGATTGAATGGCGATCGTGTGGCAGGGACGGAACTGAGGCTCATGGGGAGATTGCAGCATCAGGGGTAGATGGAGAAAAGCACGCAATAGCTTGAGCATGAATTGCAACGGGATCCTCTCAATATAGTGTTCCCGTTTCTCCCCCTGACAAGGCTCTGCGGCTTGGAAGTGACTTGGCATAGATTCCCAAGAACCCTGTAACTCTTGGTCCAGTTTTAATGTTGCTGCGAGGGTCATCATGGAAGAGTCTTGGTTTCGATCAACCATATGTCCCGCGATGATGCCAATGCGTAACACGTATTGTTCGGGGGCAGATAAGTTTGAATTGAGACGTTGCTGCGCCTGTGGCAAAAAGAATTGATCGCTGATACCATAAGGCAGGCCAAGAATCAAACTCAGGAATCGATCCGATGTTGCCAGGGAACACCAGATATTCAAGCGCCTTTCATAAAAAGAGTCGTCTGGCCTTGGAACCTTGGTGGACAGATGCATTCCAGCTAAATGGGCAAACTCGATCGCCCGACGCATCACCAGCCAAGCTTTCCGGAGCCGGCCATCAGCCAAGTGAACCCTGTGGAGCAACATCTGACATTCTATACCGGGCAGGGTAGCCGCGAAGTTGTCATCACGGACGATTAACCGGTCCACCATCTCAATGCATCGATCAGCGAATTTTTGAGGTTCAAAGGGGACGGTTAAAGCATCAAAGTCAAATTCAGATGGTGCATAAATTGCACTAATACACAGGCACAGGAGTGCCTTGGCGACTTCGGCGGGAGCCACTAGATTATCGCAACAATTTTCATTAAAAGCAAATCTGTCGCCATGTCGATCGAACATCTCTGGGAGATGTTCTTGGCACACGAACCATTGGAAGCACGCGTTGATTATCTTATTCATATCCTCTGCGGGAGGAAGGAGAGACATGAGCTCTGCACGCACTTCTTCGGCCTTTGGCGACATGTCTTGAACACCGGCGAATTTATCATTATTCGACGAGTCCTCTTGACGGCTCACGAAATAATTATCAAACAGTTGTAGTATAGGTGCATTGCAAATCTGGTCACCGGATGGGCCTAGTTCGTCTGGCTCGGTAGCTAGTGACCTTGAATGGGCTCTTATACCGTCCGCTGGTAATAATATCAGTCACGCGACATCATTCCACATGCGTCTGAACGATACCAACATTTATTTATCCCATGGCGCTCACGAGGCGGAGTGCTAGAGTCCCGCTGGTCTAGTCGCTTGGTCAACCCCTCCACAAGGTTCTCCAGGTGTGCGACTCGCTCGCGAAGACTGTATGGTTGTTCACCAATTTGGGAGTTCCGATGGTAGCCGGATAATGGAGGGGTGATAACCGCATGTTCTTGATCAACACATTTCATGCCTCTGGACCGACACTCGTTACAGACATCTGGGCGGTTGGGGTGGAATGTGCATCGAATCTTGCGCCGCCGACCTATAATTGAACGCTATTAGCGCGGACATATCAGACATTCTCCGACGCATACACTCTGTGCAACTTCTAGTCCCCTTTCTCATCCGCTTTCGCGCCGGCTCTTGGTCTGTCCAGGATTCCATCCTAACCTGTACAGCAAAAGGGCAATGATAAGATTATCTGTCGATGTTGTGTTGCTAAAGATGCTGATCAGGTCAGTGGCCGTTGTAGATTGTGTAGCATCGTCGTCCTTGGGGAGGAGTAAGACAAGTTGACTCAGAAAGGGGCGCAACAGCTCTGAAGACCCGGCGCACCCCTGGAGCTAATATGACCTACGTAATCTTAAACAAAAGAACAGAAAAGAATTCCACGGTTGTTGGATAGTTCTCATACGGAGTACATGTTCGTCCGTCAAGTTCGACCGAAATGGTGCGAGATTTCGACCGAGCCAATCAAAATGCAATACGCTAAGTCCGTTAAGTCCGTCTACGATTCGAGCTGCACTATGTATATATCCACGACGATGTTGAGGATCGTCCAGGATCTTGAACATAAAGGACCAGGTATCGTACAGAATGATAATAGTCTATGGCCAGGTTAGTTTTATGAAAATAGTGCAAGAGATGTAAACGTACATCACTGTGACTCGACTTAAAGTCACTGATCATTGATTGAAGACCGTCATTGTAAGCCTTCACCCACGTAGCGTATGTCTTGACGCTCCAGGTCCCTCTTCGATGACCGTAGGACTCCGATCTGTAGGCGGCACATTGAGGGAAAGGAACTTCCGTCCGCCAGACGCATATAACTTTTCAATGAGGAAATTTGTACTGGGCCATCAATGTCGGCACAAGTACACTAGGTTGAGTATTTTGATGACCTCACCCGATGCTACAGATTGAAAACATTAGAACATAACAGGTAACGGTGTATTAAGGCACGATATTCATTGATCCCAATCCAGAACCCAAACACTGCATTATCTGAAGACCATGGCGCAGATATACTATATGCTAACTCGAAGTCCCGGATATCAGCACCAAAATCCTCGTAGTACTGCGGTCCTGGATCACTTGTCAAAGCCCAGCTCTATAGAGTATCGATAGTAGCGCGTGAATCGAACTGGGTCATTTCTGGAGAAGAGTTGAGAATAGTGGAAGATCTCACGTCACGCCAACCTACGTATCTACACGCCCGAGCCGAACACTCTTAGCGAATACCACATTTAGGAGTTTTCTCTCTGGAGTAGGGCTGTGGCACGGTGTTTTCCAGACAGGGCAAACAACGCTACTCCATTATATTAGCCTTGCATATTGAACTGACAACTCCTGGAAGTGAATGTGTTATATATAAAGTTAGTCAAACATATAGTTGTGGCCTTTTTGCTGTACGTACATATGTAACAGAGCTCAACCCATTTACACCATCCTACTAAACAGTAATAATAGTATACCATGGCATGGAACAGACGCCAATGTAATTCGGTTAGGTACCCATGGATGGATGTACCTAACTTGTCTTCTTGGAATAAACAAACGAGAGCCAGGAAGCAAATGCACATTGACTTGGAACTGGAACTGAAATTATATGAGCCTAGGAAGAATTTGATCTGAATACATTTTCACCGGAGTGGAGAGATGAAAGAAAATCCGACTACATCTCCAAGACAGTAGAGGTACATGGACAAGATTCAAGCGAAAACTCCGGTTTACCCCCGGATCCCTCGTGCTGATCGATGATTCCCGCGCTGTGGAATAAAAGGTGCCAAAACAAAACAAGATGTTAAAGAAAATGGGTTCATAATACAAGGGTCAGACAGATGATCTGTCTGACCATGGGTGCGAGCGGATCATTTACTCGACGACACGGGTAATCAGACCAGTGGCGACGGTGCGGCCACCCTCACGGATGTTGAAGCGCTGACCGGGCTCGGCAGCAACAGGGTGGTGGGTCTTGAGGACCATCTCAACGTTGTCACCGGGCTGGACACGTTTGGCCATGTCGCCATCGGGGAAGCTCAGATCACCAGCCTCATCTAGAGCGTAGTTAGCATCCCTTATATTGATTTTATATCAGATCAGTGGAAATTGAGCTTACCAGCAGTACGGATGTAGACCTGGGGGCGGTAGTTGGCACCGAAACCAGTACGGCGGCCACCCTCAGCCTCGGTCAAAACGTACATAGACACGAGGAACTTGTTGTTGGCCTTGGTGCTGTTAGGGGCAGCAATGACCATGCCGCGGCGGATGTCCTCACGACGGACACCACGGAGCAGGAGACCGGAGTTGTCACCAGCACGGGACTCGTCACAGGACTTCTTGAAGGTCTCAATATCGGTAACCTTAGTCTTGATAGGGTTGCCAGAGTCGGTGGCACCGACAATTTCAACCTCAGTATCCTTCTTCAGGAGACCACGCTCGACACGGCCAGAGACAACAGTACCACGGCCAGGGATGGAGAAGACTTCCTCAACGGACATAAGGAAAGGCTTGTCCATATCACGCTCGGGGGTGGGAATCCAGGTATCGACGGACTTCATGAGCTTCTCGATCTGCTCAGTACCAATGTCGGCGCGGCGGTTCTCAAGGGCACAGAGGGCAGAGCCGAAGATGATAGGAGTCTCCTCGCCCTCAAATCCGTAAGAGGAGAGCAGCTCACGCATCTCAAGCTCGACGAGCTCAAGCATCTCAGGGTCCTCGACAGCATCGACCTTATTAACGAACACAACAATCTTCTGAACACCAACCTGGCGGGCAAGGAGCAAGTGCTCACGGGTCTGGGGCCTGTTGCGTGATTTGCGTCAGCACACTCTTCAAACTAGCATTCTCGACTGGGGGCCGTACATTTGACCATCGGAGGCAGCAACAACGACAATGGCACCATCCATGTTGGCGGCACCAGTAATCATGTTCTTAATGTAATCGGCGTGACCGGGGCAGTCGACGTGGGCGTAGTGACGGTCCTCAGTTGCGAACTCAATGTGGGCAGTCGAGATGGTAATACCACGCTTGCGCTCCTCAGGGGCTTTGTCAATGGAGGCATAGTCGAGGAAGTTGGCAAGACCCTTAGAGGCCTGGTACTTGGTGATGGCGGCAGTCAGGGTTGTCTATGGGCGGGCGTGTTAAATTTCATGTTCGGATGGCGGAGATGTCGGAACAAGTCGCGAATAGCTTACCTTGCCGTGATCGACGTGACCGATGGTGCCTGGAATAACCTTTTTAGCACGGAGATCGATTACGCGCCAGTGTCAGGACCTTACCAATGTTCACGTGGGGCTTGTTACGCTCGAAAGCAGTAGCCAATCCACGGCCGGCCACCTTGTTGCTGAAGACATGGTGAACGGGGTTGACGGTAGTCGGACGCAGCAGGGAGGACCGGCTAGTGCGCGCCAAAAGGTTCAATGAACGGGAGATGGTCGACATCTTGGTTCAATGGAAACAAAACGATGGAACAAGAACGAAAAGGAAAGATTAAAGAGATGAAGTAAGGATGGGAGAGAAGAAGCCCAGATCAACACCAAATTTTCTAGTAAGATGGCTTCCGGGATGGATGGATCCTCAGGGCGGCTTAGTCATCAGCCAATCACGGGCCTCGAATTGCGGGCAGAGTAAGTGTTGGATGGAATTGAACATTGGACATGGGGATGGATAATGAACCACCAATTTCATGAATATTTTCGTGACAATTTGGTGTGACTTGGCTGGATGTCAAGGTTCCAATGGGTTTAACTCTGCAGGGCTACATGTGATGAGGTAGTATGTACAAGCGACACCGAGTGTCATGATATAAAGACCGAACAAAATTCAAATTTCGATAGTCTTAACAGTAATAACAAACAGCACTATACAATCGACGTCCTGTTGCACAGTTCAATGCCATATAATATACATGTGACCAGTGGTCTCCCTCAGATATTCTTCTGTGCAGTAATCTTGAGTTGCTTCCCCGGTTCTCCCTCCATTGCCTTGGTCTGAGTTCCACCAGCCTCTCTGATTGTATCCAAAACACTCTGCATGACCTGTTTGATCTCATCCACTGTAGGATTGCGCTTGCGCCTTTTGGTGGTCAACAGAATTTCCACCCTACGACCTTTCTCTAAAAAGGTCGAGAGTTGCTTCAGGCGGTGCGACAGGTCATGCGCATCGATTGCCCAATTCAGCTCCATTTGTTTGAATACAACCTTGGATTCACGAGCTGACTTTGCTTTGGCCTTTTCACGTGCTCGCACTTCTTTCTTATTGTAGATCTTGCAAACCGGCAGATTCTCATGGTCTCCTTCTTGCACCCGAAGAAGGAAGAACTCGGTGTGGTCAAAGCTTTCCAAAACATCCTCCAGTCTGGTGGGAGGGTCGAGATCCCCTTCATCATTCACAACTTGGACAAATGACGCACGGATAGCTTCGTTTATCGGGGGCTTTTCAACGGGTGCTCGGTATTCTCGAAGCTCTAAGCAACGGGATTGTTGAAAAAATCGAGTCTGGGGGACATTCTGGAGAGGCCTGAATGTAAGAATTCCGATTCTGGAGGTGCGAACAGGTGCGATGAAGATCTGGCGTAGGGCCTGGGCGGATGATATGAGACCGCGTGTGTGGTTCATATTGTCGGCCGGTGGCGGGAAACGTAATAGGAGTCGTGGAAAGGTGACAAGCTTGTCAGTGAGGAGAAATATAGTGTTCTGTAACGATAAAACATAGAGGAGGTATGTAGTCAACGAGCCACTGGGAAGTCAAATACGACGTAATGCAAACATGACAAACATTAGTAAACCACCTGGCATTTGGCCGGCCCCGGGGGATTATACCTTCCTACCTAGGTACGGAGTACATATGTACATACCAAGGTTAGATGCTTCCGGCCATAATGATGCATATGTACCTAGGTATCTATCGAATATGGTGGCCTTCTGCATAACGAGGACATCCAGCATCCAGCGCGTAGTCTAAAATAGCTGCCTTCCAAGGTTAGTACTGGAAATGGAGGGTTTCTTATTTCTATTTTTCTTTATTTTAAGTGGCAAAAGCCCACTTTACACTTTTTAGAAGAGAATTATGTTTTGACCTTATGTATATCATTCGTAGTATGCATAACTCTGGGAAGTTCTCCGTTTGCGAGTACCTAGGTACAACAGTACTTCCAAGGTTCTATTCCGTACTAGTTATCTACCCCCATGCATTAAACGCCACCTGCGCCACAACCATGAAACCCTGAATCTCCTTTCTCTCCTGACAATTTCCTTTCTTTACATCCATCCACTTTTTTCTTCCTTGACCGGCTTGGTGTTTTTGGAGGACATCGGCTCAATGGTTGCTTATCTGTTTCTTTCTTCCTCTTAACCCCATACGGTCGTTTAACCATTATTGCGCCAGCGACAAACGCCACCTGTCACTGCACCCTTATAATTCGACAAACTGCTCGAATGTCGACTGGAGTCGACAACCACAACCATAATAGCAAATCTGACTACATAGATTCGGCCACCCGCCACCGCTCCATCTCCCGCAGCGACGGATCTGCTATCTCACCGTCTATTGAGTTCGGAAAATCCCCCGACAAACAACTCGTCAACATGGCACAGACCCAGAGATCACGTTACTTGAAGACGGGGGCAATCATTGCCTTCATCTTCATGGTCTTGGTGTGGCTCTCCCCGTCCCAGCCAAGTGCTTCAAATATTACCAACGGTTGGTGTTCCCCTTGCGCGCACTGCCGTTCGCAGAACTGATTATTTGGCAGAGCAACCACCTTCAAGCAGTGGCGCATCCACTTCGAGAGTATGCACTAAGCCGTTTGATTCGTCCAAGCCTCTTATTCAGTACGCTCTTATGATCGATGCCGGCAGCACTGGATCCCGGATTCATGTATACCGATTCAACAACTGTGGCCCTACCCCGGAACTTGAGAACGAGGTGTTCGAACAAACGCAAAAGAAGGAGGGAGGCTCCGGTCTCAGCTCTTTTAGAGAGGATGCTGAGGGAGCAGCTCTGAGTCTGGACCCTCTTATGGATGTTGCCGTGAAGTCGGTTCCCGAGGAGTATAGGTCGTGCTCCCCGGTTGCCGTCAAGGCCACCGCCGGACTTCGTCTTCTAGGTCCTGAAATGAGCGACAAGATTTTGGAGGCCGTTCGACACCGCCTAGAGACCGCCTACCCCTTCCCTGTTGTCTCCAAGGAGAAGGGCGGTGTCCAGATCATGGATGGTTCAGACGAAGGTGTCTACGCTTGGATTACGACCAACTACCTGTTGGGCAAGATCGGTGGCCCGGATGAGACTCCCACGGCCGCTGTCTTTGATCTGGGTGGCGGTTCTACACAAATTGTCTTCCAGCCTACCTTTGAGCAGAGTAAAGCTGGTGGTATGCCGGAGCACCTCGCCGCCGGTGACCACAAGTATGACCTCAAGTTCGGTGGCCGTCAATTCGAGCTGTACCAGCACTCTCATCTAGGATACGGTCTCATGTCTGCCCGCGAGGCGATGAACACTGTGGTCGTGGAGGCGATGCTAGCCCAGAGCCCAAAGGACCTGTCCTGGGTTCAGCAGCCTATCTCTAACCCCTGTATTGGCCCTGGAATGAAGAAAGACGTTACTCTCAAATTCCCCGCTGAGCATCCCCTGGGGCCTAAAGTCCAAGTGACCATGGTCGGCCCGAAGGACAAGTCCATGGCCCCCCAGTGCCGTGCTATCGCCGAGAAGATCCTGAAGAAGAGCGGCGACTGCAAGCTTGCACCCTGCTCTTTCAACGGTGTACACCAGCCCTCTCTCGCGAAGACTTTCGCCCGAGAGGACGTATACATCTTCTCTTATTTCTTCGACCGCACGGCTCCTCTTGGCATGCCGGAATCTTTCACTCTGGATGAGCTTAACCAGCTGACCTCCACCGTTTGTGCCGGAGAGAGTGAATGGAAGGGTTTCGAGAGTGTTAAGTTCGAAAACGAGGATAATGCGCTTGTGCAGCTTCGGGATCGTCCGGATTGGTGTATGGACCTCAGCTTCATGATGGGCTTGCTCCATACTGGTTACGAATTGCCTTTGTCCCGCGAGGTCAAGATCGCCAAGAAGATCAAGAACAACGAGCTGGGCTGGTGTCTTGGTGCAAGGTTAGTTCACTCTTTCCCTTCCCCCCTAATCAGTATACTGACCTGTTACAGCTTGCCTCTTCTGAGCCAAGAATCCGGCTGGACTTGCCGCATTAAGGAAGTGGTTTAGAAAATGAGACGGTGAAACGGCGAAACGCAAAATTATCACTTTTTTTTTAATAATGTCATTCGATCATAGTGCATGATGGTTCATGCATATATAGAGATCCGCGGATATGCTCGTGTTTTGTTTTATTATTTTCTTTTCTTCCATCTCTGTTTATCTAGACTTGATTTCTGATGAGTTGCATACATAGGGAATGAATGTATGAGTGTCTTTGTGCATGCAAGCGGTTTGGAGCCACTTCTATAGAGGGAAAAAGAAAGCAAAGCATTAGACGCTAAATGATAACACGGAGCCCACGATATGCAAATGTCAACCCAGTAAATCGCCATTACATCAAGACCACACATCTCAACCCCCCCAAAAAAAACATGTATAAATAATGCAACCCACCGAATAAATAAGTGTCTACTAAGCCATCTCCTGGATAGACGGTTTATCGATATTCGACTTTTTACTCTTACCTCCCATAAGTTTCCCAATGATATCCGAGTCGTTCATCTCCTGGGGAGTCTTCCCAGCGTCAGTGACACCCTCAGACCCTTCGTCGTCATTCTCCTCGCCACTTGAAGAATCCCCATCGCGCTTCTCTTCCAGAACCCCAAGACCAAGGTCCTAAAATTCGTCAGCAAACTCTCATCCCGTTCATTAAGAACCATCAACAAACTTACCATCTCAATATACTGCTCCCCATTCTCGTCTGCATTGTCGAGAACAAGATCCCCAGCCTCCCCAGCTTCAATCTGCCTCAGCAAATCCTCATTTGCATCCTTCATCTTTGGCAAGAAAGCGTTGAGCCGCGACAAAATTTCCGAATCGCCTTTCATGCGACGTATGCGGGGTTTCGGGCGGCCGGCGATGTGAGGTAGCGAGGAGGATGAATCAGAGATATGTGTGTGGGTGGTGGACTCTCCGGTGCTATTCATTTCTTGGTCGGAGTGTTGTTCGTTTTCCCCTTCGCTCTCGCTGTCATCCTCCGAAGATGAGCCTGAGGAGGAGGTTTGATCGGGGTCGGATGATTGAACAGAGTTGGCGCGCTGGGGACGGGGCACAGTGCGGTCTGTTAGGTTTGTATTTTGTGGAGAGGGATTGCTCGCAGCAGTCTCAGATCTTGTCGCTGCTTTTGGCATATTTGTGGTGTTTGGTGGTATGCGCTTTGCTGGGAATCGCAGAGATTTCTGGGAGGTTGCGATGCGCTGATGAGGGGTTGGAGGATTGGAAGGCGGGTTGACAAGATATATCGAGGTTTTTTTATATGGTTAAATGTGATCTCAGTGCCCAGGTTTTGTCTTTGTTACTGGAAATATGGAAGTTGGCGAGTCTGGTTAGAGATCGGGCATTTTCAACTTTTTTGGGTGGAGAACTGATAACGGATAAGCTTATCGGCTATCGAGGCATGTGATCTGCTTTCAAACCGACGTTTAGATGGTAAGGATATTGAAATAGTTAGGGTCACTCTCATCATACATGTTATTATTACAGGGTACTATTAAAAAAAGGCAAGCCGTTATAAAAGCCTCCCGATCTTTTTATACATGGCAGTTTTAAACACCTGCGTAAAAATCATCGGCTCCGGTTCCTTCTGCGACTGCGGCTTCGTCGTCGACTTGGGCTTCTTCGTCTGCTAGGACTCCTTCGGCGACTAGGGGTTCGTCGACGCGGTCGGCGATCATCTGCGTCTTTCCCCTTTTCTTTTTCTTTCTCCTTTTTTTCTGTGCCAACCTCAAGATCTCCTTCTTTTGCTTGAGTCGCATCCTTATCCCGTTCAGATACAGGTTTGTAACGGTCAATATCGGCTAACCGGGGTCGCTGTTCCCGCTCTCGCTCTGGAGATCGGACCCGGCGGCGGGGCGACTTGCTTCGGTTGCTAGTGGAGGGCACGTAACGGTCAATATCTAGCGTAGGAGAAGGCGAGCGACGCCGAGACCGAGATCGCCGTCGAACAGATCGAGAACGTGATCGAGGGCGGTCACGGGCACGAGGGCGCGAGCGCGAGCGGCTGCGAGAACGTCGGCGTATGGGTGAACGAGATGGCCGACTGCGTCGAGGGCGATAATTGTTATGATCTCGGTCTCGGTTGCGGCTGCGGTCCCGGTCTTTGGACCGCGATCGATCCCGTATTCTATCTCTATCTCGGCCAATACTGCGGTCCCGGTCACGCCGGCCGGCGGATCGACTGCGGCTGCGACGGCTTGGCCTGTAGCTACCACCGCCTCGGTCATCTCGGAAGTCACGGTAGCCACGGCGCGCATCCATATCACGATCTCGAGACCTCACAGAAGTATCCCGAGACCGCTCACGTCGACGATCTGTGTCATAACGGGATGTGCGGCGCCGCCGCGAGCGACTACGGCTTCGATCCCGAATCAAATGTCGGGACCGATCACCCCGGTCTCCAAGAGAACCACGCCTCGCGTCAGCATCGCGGGATAGGCTGGCCGCTCTGGTAGATGTATTGGAAAATCTGGAATCATTGGCATGCTTGGCCGGTCCTAACGTTGATGGTGGCGGTTTCAGTCCATTTTCAATAGCTTCGGCCTCTTCAAAGTCAAACTCGGGCTTCTGTCGAGCCTTGGCTGCGAGTTCTTCGCCTTCTTTCAAGAGCATTTGCAAAGCAGCCTCCTCAAGTGATTTTTCATCCACAAGGGGCGCTAGCACAGGAGTGGGAGCATTCGACGTAGCCGGCTTGTCGTGTTTTGAATCCCGGGGCCAAGGGGATAAGCCACGGTCTGAGCGATAGGCCGGAGAGCGATCACGGAAACGGTCTCTATCTTGGGTTCGACTGCGGTCGCGGTCCCAGCCTCGGTATCGCTCCCTATCTTCTCGCCTTCGGCGCTCATATCTTTCATCTCGCTCTCGTTCTCGCTGCTCGTCGAGAATTCGTTGCTCTTCACGTTGGCGTTCACGATCAGCGCGCCTTTGTTCATCAATTTCCTTTCTCCGGGCCCTGTCTTCCTCGTCTTTCTGACGTTCAAGTTCGCGCTTCTTTCTGCGTTCTTCATCCCTGATGCGTTTTTCCTCTTCCTCAATCTCCCTCCGTTTGCGCTCCTCTTCGCGCCACACTTTTTCCCGCTCCTCCCGCTGGGCGCTGACGTATGCTTCGTAATCTGCATCGGTTTTGTTCCCTAGCTCGAGTTCACGGGCGGCGACTTCCTCTCCAACGTCCTGGCATCGGATCTCACGAACAGATTCGAGGATAAAATCTAGGTGTTTGGATGCTAATTGGTCGATGGAGTCCTCCACGCTCTTGTAGACATCGCCACGGTCCACCGCACCCTCAATTAGTGTCGCTGCTTTTCCTCTCTCGCGGGATAGCAGTGCCGGCTCGCGATCGATCTCCGATTCTGCAAGTGCGACCAACTTGTTGGTAAAATCAGTTCGAAGTTCCTGTTCGGAGAGGATTAGCAGAGCGTAGAAGAACGTGTAAATAATTCCCATACCCCGTCATTGAAGTCGGCCCATATTTGTTTGCGGACACTATCAAAGCCACCTTTCTTCTTGAATGAATGCAGGAGTTTGTCAATGACTGCATGTTGCGCGGCAGACAAGGGAAGGTCATCGGTCTTAAACTTCTTGCGCTTGACGCTCTCAATATCAATAGGCCGTTTAGCGGTAGAATGGACAGCCTCTATCTCCTGAGGATTGACCATTGTCTCATCAGAAGCCATAGTAACACAACTGCCCTGGACAACCTTGGAAGAGAGTGATTCAAAGTCGCGCGAGCGATAAGCGATAAACGCAGTTGTCGGAATAATAGTTGTTCCGTGATTGGGAACTGCGGCCCGCTGATTTGCTTCAACCTCGTCTCTCCTGTGCTATTGCGACGGCAACATCCAACTCCGCCTCCATTTACCCCGGGCCGCTGTGGTGTTGAATTAACCAATCCACCCATCCGCCTTCTGATCCTTTTTCTCGGATCCCCTTCCGCACTCGAATTACAACCACAACCCCGCGCCCAACCGCGATCATGGTTCACAAAGTACTCTTCTGGAGTGGCTTCGGTACGTGACGGGTTCTCCCCTCGGCTCTCAGTTTATTACAAGGACATCCTGCTTGGTAGCATGATTTTATTTATTTATTAGATGGCCATTGGAACTAACCGCGTTGATTCCACAGGCATTGCCGTCCGCCTCTGGCAACTCGGTATCGAGATGCGTCCGATCCTCGCCAAGGAATCCCTCTGGGTCTACCCCCTTTTCGCTGGTGTTGGTGGAAGCTTTGGCTACTGGCTCCAGGGTGTTGAGAGCAGACAATTGAAGATGCTTGCACAGCGCCGCGAGGCTATCCTCGAGAAGCGTCGGCGGCGAGATGAGAAGCCCGAGGGCGGTGTCCTGGCTGCTGCATCATAAAGCAAAGGCTATTATGATTATGGTCGTTGTGTGTATGCGTTTTTTATTTGTACCAAAATTCAACCGGTTTGATATCAGCATTCGGGTCTTCACATTTAGTGGGCAATTTTTCTTGAGGTTGCCACAGATGAATTGGCCTTTCTTATGTTTTTGTTCTGTTCTTCAAAATTCTGAATAAGGATAGTCTCCAATTTGCCCATCTCTCTTTTTTTTAATTTCACGGGGTATAAATCCCGAAGTAGAACGTTTCCAGGGTTGATATCGACCCATCCATCGTCTGAGGCGTCATGAGTCAGCAAGGAGTGGGTGCCCGGCGGGCAGGCTCCCCGGGGTCGAGTACATCATCAACTCCGCTCCGTAGCCACCTACTTATACTGCGCTCGTCATTCATTAGTTTATTTCTGTTTGCTCCCACTGTAACTTAGCCGAGCTCCCCGGTCCTTCTCGGGCCTTTTGTTCTCTCTATCGCGATGCTTATTGTCTGTCTTTGAGGAAGAGTCCGATGCCGAGACTACGTGGCATAGATGGATAACCGCGGCTCCTTTTTCTTCTTCCTGTTGGTGTTTTACCTTCTCCTCAGTTCTCAGTCTCGACCTCCATTGATCAATGAAGATCGGGCACGGCAACGTGAGCTTGACCATGAGCGACAGGTCCTCCAGCTGTTAAATGGGTCAAAATACGGCGACTTCGATCCGCCCGCCAATCGATGGCTTCCTTTTTCGGGCCTGAGGGGGAATGACAGCTATGCTTGGGATCTTTTCCCGCAGGTCAAATGCCTGGCTCGCCATCAGTTGCAATCAGCGGTCTCAAATGCCGGATTAGAACCCCCGGATGGTCTAGAAGACCCCACCGTCTCGCCGACGTTGAACTTGACCAAGCTCCTGCTTCCAGTATATCGCAACTCAACCGGAAAGCTTCGGGGGACTGGGTCCGGAGAACTGAAGGTGCTGATCGCCGTGAGCCTCTGAACTCGACAGCCATCGCTGAAGAACACGAATACTTCACTCATGAATTCAGCCATAATATCACCGGCAATGGGGGCACCTTTTACTTCGATCTTGAAGAGGGAGGTGGCGAAGAGCTTCAGATGGGAGATGGACTTTCGAGAGAGATGCGCGCCAGTTTGACAGTCGAGAGCGAGGACTTCTGGGGAAGTACTTGGTACATCTCGTTGTTTGGTGTACACTTCCCAGACACCGGAAGTATCGTTTTGACTACTTCTAGTGAGAAATTTGGTGGCATCTTCTCGTTGCCGCATTTCATGCTATCTTCTGACTCTTACGAACTGTCCCATGAGCTGCTTCTCAAGTCGCTGTCGGACACCATCTCGGAGAAACAAAATCGAGCCCCAACACTGTTCCCCTGGTCCTCCTTGGCAGGAACAGAGCAGACGGAGTTCCCTGCGCCTAAATGTGAACATATCATCTACTTGCAACAACATCCAGTCATGATCGGAGATGCCGCTGCTGACCGATTGTTATTGGAGCGTATGGAGCAAGAGCTCAGATATCCGATGGGAGCGCCAATCCCAGACCCTCCTCTTTTGGTTATGTCTGCCGTTGTCTTCTCCCCAGACTGCGGGTACATACTTCAAACGAAAGGAACCCCCGAGTTCCCTCCTTCTGATTCGCTATATGTGACTGGGCCCAAGCATGAAGAGTACAGTAAATATGCAGCTCGTCTCATTTTCGTGGTTTCTGGCGTTTTTGTTGCACAGATCACTCTACTTCTCCGACAGATCAAAGAGGCTTCCACTCCTTCTACTCGGAGTCGAATCAGCTTCTATACCATCGCATTGATGGCGCTGGGCGATGCATTCGTTTTGACATTCATTGTTTTGGAACTATATGCGGCAGTATCTTTCTTGGTTCTGACCACTGCATCATTTTTGGCATTTCTGTCGGTGAGTTATATTGGAATGAAGTTCATGATGGAAATATGGGCAGTGCAAGAGCCGGAAAGAAGAGAGCAGGATCGTCCGCCCAATCCATCACCTCCAATTACTCGCGCGGAAGCTTTGCCTTTGCATGCCACTGCTCCGGCGGTGCAAGACTCGGGCGCCACCCCAGTCATCTTGTCGCCCGACCAAGACGCCCCCGACGATGAGACGGATTCACCGCCGCCGCCCACCCGAACCGCTCCTCCAACTCCAAGGCAAATCCGCAGTGACGTAGGAACAATGTACGCACGGTTCTATCTCGTGCTGTTTAGCATGCTCATCCTGTCAATCTGGGCTTTCCTCCTGCCGAGACGCCTCGGCTCGATCTACACCCGTTTCTTGGCAGCAGTCTATCTCTCCTTCTGGGTTCCACAGATCTACCGCAACGTGATGCGAAATTGCCGCAAGGCCCTTCGGTGGGACTTTGTTGCCGGCCAAAGTGTTCTCCGGCTCTTCCCATTCCTGTACTTCCTCACAGCACGGGGAAACGTGTTGTTCATCCGTCCCGACTACACAAGCGCATTCATCATGACTGGATGGGTATGGATCCAAGCTTGGATACTGGTCAGCCAGGACGTTCTCGGACCTCGCTTCTTTGTGCCCCGTGGCTGGGCGCCACATGCATACGATTACCATCCCACGCTACGCGATTTATCCGGAGCGGACGAGGATCTCGAAGCTGGTGGTGGCGTTTTGTCTATTGCATCCCTGCGCGGCGATGAGCGAGATCTGGTCAGTGACTCCAAGGATGACGACAAGCAGTGGAGAGACCGCAAGAAGGCCATATTCGACTGTGCTATCTGCATGCAGGATATCGAAGTGCCTGTCCTTCCCGCACCTTCTGCCTCGGGTGGAAGTAGCGTTGCCGATGGGGCCTCAAGCATTTTGAGTCGCCGGCTGTACATGGTCACTCCTTGTCGTCATATCTTCCACACTGCCTGTTTGGAAAGCTGGATGAGACTTCGCCTCCAGTGTCCGATCTGTCGTGAATCCATACCTCCTGTATAGCTTCTATTTTAATGTTTTTCATACATGATATCATCCACCTGTACACAGACCTGCTGCATTCCATTGTTGAGACTTGCGTGATCTAGCTCTGAATACACATCCACCTGGATATATGGATCACAATTTCTCTACAAGAGCATGGAACAACAATCCATTCACGCATACAGAAATCTGGTTGAACATTATCTCGATATATTTACGGATCGACAAATCTAAACGCTTTCATTGAAGGAAATCGGTCACCATTGGGCATACATGACAATATAACATCACACTTAAAGAAAAAGGCGTTCAGCACGCACAGGCAGGCATTTATAAACCATGAATCACGACCAGTCTTTACACTCCACAAATCTAAGCATCGATGGTCTCTTTGTAGGCAGCCTCATCAAGCAAGGCATCGAGCTCAGCAGCATCAGCGACCTCAATCTCAGCGATCCAGCCCTCACCCTCGGGGCTCTCGTTGATGGTCTTAGCCTTATCCTCAAGGATGCTGTTACCCTGAATAACCTTGCCAGCAATGGGGGAGAGGACATCGGAGGCAGACTTGACGGACTCGACAGCGCCGACGGGCTCGCCGGCGACGATCTCGAGGTCGGCCTCGGGAAGCTCTACGTAAACGACATCACCCAAGGAGTGGGCGGCGTATTCGGTGATACCGATCTTGGCTATAGAGGGTGTGTTAGTTACATCGCTGCTCCACATCCCGTATACTATGGAAGTTCATATACAATGGGCACGTCGGTTCAATAGGACGAAGGTAGGTGTATGGGGCCAATTGATCGGGGGTGCTAGTGAACTAACCAGTCTTGCCGCCATCGGCCAGCTCAATCCATTCGTGGGACTCTGTGTACTTCTTCAGTTGGGCTATAATTGCGAATTGGTGCGCTGTTAGTAAATGTGACATCATGTAGCTCCAGGAAGCATGTTTGAGGGATTGTGATGCTTCAATGCCATCCAAGTGTCTTATTTACCACCATGGACAGCATTTAACAGCACTGGGGGTTCACGGTACTCACAGAGAGGGCTCTGAGAGAAGCTCCTGGTTCCCCGCGGGAAACGGAAAGCAGGCGCAACCTGGCAGGCGGAAGCAAGAGGCTTCTGGGTAAGGACCCGGGAAGCGAAGGGGCGGATGGCGCGAGCGACGGAGGACATTTTGGGGTATAGAGGAAAGGAATTGAAAGCGTGGAAAATGAAATGCGGAGAGGGGAGGGTTTAAGTAGAAGGGAAAGAAGGTTGATGCCCTTCTCCGGCGGAGTTTCGTTGACGGCATTTCCCCGATAACGAAATGCCAAGACTACGATAAGCAACGCGCTAACCTCGTCGGATTTTGCTGGCTTCAAATGGTCATCGCTCCATTTCTGTCTCTAGTACACCCCACCCCTCGATGCCATGTTGTACGAGCTAATTGCCATTGTATGTTTTGATTTTATTGAAACTGTTATAATGACCATTAATGATATGTTTGAATTTGCTAACCGCTCTGCGAACAGGTCCGCCCGGGCAGCCTCAACGAGGTGCGAGAGTACGTCTAAACCAACACCATCGCCGCGGCCTCCATCGTCCGAACCTATCGAATACTAACATACATACTTGACTGCAGAATCGCCCGTAATGCCGGTACCCAAGTCATCCGCTCCGGCGGCGTCGTTCGCGGCTACACCAACTGGGGCGCCTTCCGTCTACCCAAAGTCACTACGAAACATCAGGCCCGATACAACGAAGGTCACCACTTTATCATGCGCTTCGACTCCTCCGGCTCTGTTCAATCTTCTATCCGCCGCACTCTCGGTCTCGATCCGCGTATGATCAACTTCTCCGTGGTCAAGCTTGGCGACAAGCTTGAGGAGATCAAGGACATCGATGGCAAGGTCCAGTGGAACAACGTTTCCACCATCACCGAGCAGATCTAATTGACACAATTTTCTATGACGAAAGTTTGGTTGATTGTTGATATCAGATTTAGGAGCGTGGATTTGGATTTCAGCACTTTTTTTTTGTTCTTTGTATTATTATGGCACGGGCATTGGGAACTGCCACTCGAACCTATCAGCACAATCGGCGCATATTGTATAAAATACCAGTTTGATCTACAAGTCTATTTTGTGGCTGTTACTACATTTCATGTTTCCTCTACTCCTCGGTCCTCCATAGACGATGGCAACGGTGAGCACGGCAAATAAAGCATGCATCTAATAGAAAAGCTCAATATATATCTCCTTATTTTCATTTATAAGAGAGCGACATGCCACGTCCTCTGACCCCTACTACCATTATTCGATTTATGTAAACCTGAGGACCGAAGTGCTCCAGCCGAAATGCATTTAAGGATTGATCGCTGGATTTGAATTAAACATCCTATAGATACATAGAGAACCGATTCATATAGAAATCGTCCAATCACTTTGTTCAAAACTTCCACAATTTGAACATTCATCTATATATTGTAGGGTCGTGGGAATCAAATTGACAACATTGAAGCCGAGGCACCGGCTACTCCCGTCTCGTTAGTCCGGGGTGTACCAATCCCCATACATCCATTATCAACCCCATCACCTCTTCGTACGTGCTCCCCACGATACAATCCTACAGGGTTGTCATTGTATAACAGAAGACTGTACTACTACTGGCTCATTAACCCCACTATCGCCCACTACAATCCCGGGGACGATCACCAGGCCGGTATTGTTGGTCGGACAGGTACCATCGGCGCGCAAAACAATTATCGATGTCAACACAAGTAACTAACTACTTTGCCTAGCCTGTACTTTTGGGGCAGAAAGGCTTAAATCAAACGGCCTCTCGCCTCTTTGCGCTATGTCTCCGCAACGCGGGGCCTCGGACAACGACGGCGAGCTGACATCCCCGCATTCTTTTGCTGAGTTGATGTCGCTGCAGCGACTCGAAGATACCTTTGTCTCGTATCCCGATTCCACTGAACCAGAAAAGATTGAGCGGTTCCGCTCGCTAGCAATACCTTACAATCCTGGACAGGGAACGCGCTCCTTCGGCGGACATGTCTACGCCCAATCAGCGTATGCAGCGTCCAAGACTGTCGGTCAGGGGTTAGTGATTCATGTAAGATTTTAAACATCAACTTTCCCCAAAGACACTCAAACTGACGTGTCGACAGGATATGACGGGCACATTCATCCGAGGAGGGCAACTCGACACGCCATACGTGTACACCGTGCGACATATCCGCGACGGATTCATGTACAGCACACGAGCCGTCGACGCACGACAAGCAGGAAAAATCTGCTTCTCGTGTATCTGCTCCTTCAAACGCGATGAGAAGGAGCGTCTCTTCCAGCACCAGCCGACATCAGCACAAACGCGCTTCGACTCAATCCTCTCGGCGAAACGGCCAGAAGACCAGTCTCCCAGTCCCAGCGTGGACGCAGAATGGTGGATCGAGGCGGTGCGACAGGGAAATATCTCCGAGCACGAGTTTCCCGGTCTGGACGTGCGCAAGACCGATATGAAAGATTATAACCGCGCCGAAGATGTCAAGCAACATCCTGAGCGATATCGCCAGCTAACGCAGTATCGGCTCAAAGGATCACCTGATGAGGATCCTGCTGCGACTTTGGCGCAGATTCGGGAGAGGGAAGAGACCGGGGAATATGATAATTTATATGCGTGTGCGCATATGTATTCCAGTGATAAGAACTCGCTTCTTTTGATTCCGCGTGCCCTGGGAATCAATAACTGGTCCGAGATGGCGAGTCTTACGCTTACGGTTATTGTGCATCAGCATGGGGAAGCTCTGCGGATGGTTGATTGGGAGAGTATTGGCAATGGCGATATTAGCGGCGTGAGTGAGTTGCCTATGAAGTGGTTCGTGCAAGAGGGGTGGACACCTCGGGCTACGGAGAATAGGGGGACACATGAGAGTCATATTTGGAGCCCTGATGGGACGTTGCTGGCGACTTCTTTGCAGGATAGTATGTTGCGCTTGAGGAAGTTGGGGGCTGCAAATTTGTGATTTACGAAGGTCCCTCGTATATATATAGCTTAGACCAGAAGGTTATACAGACGGGGCCATGAGAGCAACATTAATTACTGGGAGTACTCTAGCGATACTTATACCTCTTTGTCGGTTTTGTTCAGAAACTGAAATCGCAGTGGTACGAATAGCTGCAACATTTGTGCAGCCTACTACATAAAGACATCCATGGTCAAGACACAGTCAACCTACCACCAAACCCCACGAAATCATTGAAAGATATGCCATGTAACACCCACAAGAAAAATAGTATTAGAATAGGGTATGAGCTAAAACAAAGAAAAGAAAATCAAATATCCTCCCCGGATATGTTAGCATGCTTGAAGTACTTCATGCCCACCCATGCGACAACAACCCAAACCCAAGACATGACAGCTGTAAGAATAATAAGTGCGGGGTAATATCCGACAATTGGCAAGGTAGGATCATCCTCCAACTCAGGTGGCGCATAGGGCGTCTCCCCAACATCCCAAGCCCAACTCCAAACCTCAAAGCAGCTCCCAATGCCCACAACAAAGACCAACCACGTCACAATCAGTATAATCCAGCCCCACCACTCAGTCTCGGAGTAGTCTATGTCCACATCGGGACTGCTCTTCATCTCAACTGGGTGTGTGACCAGGGGCGAGGACTTGTGTCGGTGGACGGGTAGGTATGCCGGTTCGGGCTGAGGTTGGAGTGAATAGAAAGAATTTGAGCTGGAGGGTGGTGGGGAGATGTGTAAACCGGCAGAGATAATTTTGGGGCTCGTGCTCGTGCCGGCCGCCGTGGGAGTTGAATTCGAGTGGAGGGTAGGAAAGGAGACAAGGTCCTCGTCGTCGGTGGCTTGTTCCTGGAGATTATGCTGTGCGAGGCCCTGGCGTCGGCGACTTATTGAGGGTCGGGTGGGTATCTGGGTGTTTGCCGCGCGAAACCAGGTCGGCTGTTGGGTATCGTCGCGGTCGTCGTCAAGGGCCACACTCTCGCGCGGCGAGTATTGAGTGGTTCCATTATTAGAAGAGGTTTGATCTTTTGGTTGTATAGCCGCTTGTAGGTCGGCGGCGGGGAGTCGGCTGGGTTCTGCACGGAGGGCTTCGAGGGCTTCGGCGGCTTTTGCGGTGGCTCTTTTGTCACGCGATTCGAGCCTGGTGCCTAGCAGTGCCGTTTTTCGGAGGGAGCCACGTCGGCGGCGTGTTCGATGTTGTGCAAGAGCGGCAGACATTGCCCGGCTGCTGGTGGTTCCTCCCTTGCCTGTGTTCTGCGGAATACCGGAGTGGAGGTCTTCGTCGCCATCGTGGTCCATGTCTAGGTGGTGTCGGTCTAGGGAGGTGTGTGCTGCCTGGCTTACGCGAAGGAAGGAAAGTCTGGAGAGGAGGGAGCTTGAAACGCTTCGTTTGTGGCCGCTACTTGCGCTACCTGATCGCTTGCGAGGAGATAGTTCGTGGTCCGCCAAGTCCGCCGTCATTGTCCATTGGTGCAAGTGGAACCGGGAGCTGGTCAGCTCAACCCTCTCGCGTTAGTGAAACTCGGGTATTGTTCATTTCTTTGTTTCTTTGTTTGATATTTTTGTTTTTGTTTTTGCAAAGAGATATATTGTAAAGGAGCGTCGTTGTGGCCTGCAATATCAGGGACTAAAAATGGCAATGCAGGTAGGTCACTGGCCAAGCATTTATCACGTGCTTGGAACGTGACTTGATCTAAAAATGACATTTAGAAGGGCGCAAACTGAGCCTCCCAGACCAATTTTGCAAGCTGCTCAATTTATTCCCTTCCTATGATCAAATCACCTTCTCTGGGGGTTGTGGAGGCCGTAGGAACAGGCGATCAAAAGAGATAGTCAGTGGAGCCCCAGAGACTCGAACTTTACCACAGGTGTCGCTTTCCCGTATCTCAATATGTTGGGATAATTGGGCTTGTCTATTGGCGTGGTCCCACTCGTACTTATCCATGGTGATAAGTGGCCGGGTTCTGTTTGTCTTGATGGCGATGGCTATATCGGCGTTACCCCTACTGGGATCAAGCCATAGATCAATGTCTCGCTGCAACCTTGTTATAGTTTGCGAGATAGTGATTTCCGCAACCACCGTAGGCCGCCTTCCAGTACCAGGAGGGGGGTGTCTAGGGCCCAATCCCCAGTCTGGCTGTTTTGAAATGCCATTCAAATCGATATTCACTTCACGATAGGAAAAAGTTGCCCGGCGAAGCCCCATTGGATCAAGTGCAATCTTAATTTCATCATTAAGAGCGTCAGTCACTTGTTCATGTTCCTGAGTGATAATTTTGGCGATCAAAGTGTTTGTTTGGGGGTTGAAAGTACAACGTATTCCACGAATATCATGGAGATCCGTGTCAGGATCAACGAAATCGTTTTGGAAGGTGCGCTCGTCGATAAAAAAGAGAAGGTACTCATTAACGTCCACCGAAAGGCGAAGACGTTCACGCTCAACGCTAAGTATTTGGGAAAAGTGTTCCTTCCCTTGATACACATACCGTCTAACAGATGGAGGTAGGCCCTCTGAGTCGTAGTCACATTCATCTTGATTGAATTGGGACATCCTTGACTACCTGTATTTTTTAATACCTCGAAGCCAAGGGATATAAGGATTATCAACGTTGTTTTTCCCAAGTTCTGGCTCAAATGGCCCTGAATTGTCTCTGATATATATGAAATACTAGTTAGCAGCTGCAAGTATGACGTCCACTATTTAAAGGGTTTATATATCCATGGATGTATTTAATAATCTTATTATATCAACGCTGGAGACCATCTTTGATGTCTTTCATGATCTCCTTTTTCCCATTCTCCTGAGTTTAAAACCGCAAGAGTAAATATCAATATTCCAGTTATAACCACCTAGTAGCTATGTGGTTAACTAGTAAATAACCCCAGCCCTCCAGGGCTGACTTCCAGGCTAGGTAAAAAAAAGAAACAGAGAAAAAAACAGAGAAATAGAAAAGGTGAGAATATGTACATTGTCTATTCCATCTAAAATATGCTGCATATCTCATCGTCACACTGCATACATATGCAGCGAGAAAAGGGCTGCAGTTTACCAATCAACTAACGCTACAATGAATAATGATTGACTTAAATGTCTCGCGGTGCACAACACAACATGTTCAGTTTCACCTGCCAGCCTATGGGCAGAGAATATCATGCAATCGGCCGTATGCTCTGTACATAATACATGGTATATATATATAATAAAAAAAATAAACAAAGAAAGTGTCATCGGCAATGATTTTAAAGAAATGGAAAGCCAGAATGCAGCAAGAAAAGAAAAAGAAAAGAAAGGCAAATTGGTATCTGGGCTAGAACGCCAGCAAGGCAGAGATACTTAGAAATAAGATCAATGATATCGTGTGCTCCAAGGAAATTCATCACAGCATATACGGATACTCGTGGGAAAGTGCCCAGACCAATGTGTCAGCCGAGAAATCCATGGCAACCCATGAAAAGCATCTTTTGAGTGGAAATGAGTATCAAACAAGGAAAGCAAATCTGATACAACATATGTTCTCGGATGATAAAACAGCTAGAGAAATGAAATGAACAAGATGGCAACAGTCCAAATACGCGGGTGAGGAGTAGGGAGGTCGCTTTTATTTGGGGGGCATGACAGAGCCAAAAAGTCCAAGGAACCCTTGATAGCAAGGCACGCTTAAAGAAAAAAAAAAGAAGGGGGACAAAAAGAAGCAAAAAGAAAAACCGAAGCAACGTAGTGGACTTGGGGTATGGGGTGTGCAACACACAAATTCCGTTTCAGACAAAAGCAACTTGCTCGCTTGAAAATCCACTCAATTTAAGTAAAAGAAAGAAAATATCAACGGTGATGGGGAATTGTAGAAGGGTGCTATGGAAAGAAACACAGAAGGAACGTTAAATAAACTTAGTTCTGTGAGCAAATGCCGGAAGTGTCGTAGGTGAGCAGACCGACTGGAGACTTGTCACAAACCGAGCTACGCCTGGTAGCCTCCGTTGAAGTTGTTGGGCTGGTCCCAGTTGCCGGACGGGGACATGGGCTGGCCACGGCCGTAGCCCCCCGCATTACCTGCCTGGGCGTAGCCTTGGCCAGCCATAGCAGGCCCATTGAAGTTGTTGGGTTGTTGATCCCAGCCTCGACCAGCAGGGGCAGGACCTATTTCACCCGTAAGCGAGGGCTAAGGCATAACAGATGGATACTGGGCTCACCTTGATTCATGGGGTTTGCGGGACCACCATATTGGGGGAAGAAACCGGCAGGGCTGTTGGTGAAGGGAGCGGCGTTACCCTGTTGAGGAGAGAAGTTGTCGAACTGGCCGGTAGGAGGGCGATCCTTACCCCACTGCGGTAGTCAGTAAACATAAACCGGGAATCCCAGAACTAGCAATAACTCACACTACACTTCAGAGGACGGCCGTTGACGTTGTAGCCGTTCAATTGGCAGATCGCAGAGGCCGCATTTTCATGCGAATCCATCTTCACGAATGCAAAGCCACGATCGGCCTGAAGGCGAGTTTCAAGGACATAGCCAAAGTTCTGGAACAGGGGGACCAAATCGTTCTGAGTGGTATAAGGGGTGAGGTTGCCCACGTAGCAAGTAGTTTGCCACTGGGGGGGTTTGCTGAGCAACCATATCGTAGCTCTGAATGCCGTGGGTTGGGAAGTGGTGGTGTCCGAAAGGAGTTGTAGGCGTCATACCCATAGCAACCAGGGCTTGCTGCTGGGAGATTGAAGGCTGACCCTTCTGGTTGGCCCAGTTGCATCGGATAGCACGAGAGCCGAGCCATTCACCATCCATCGAGTTGAGGGCCTTATCAGCCTCTGCGCGATCACGGAAAGCAACGAAGCCGTATCCACGGGAGCGACCAGTCTTCATATCCCACATCACACGTGCTTCAGATACTGATCCGAAAGCAGAGAAAGCTTGAGTCAGCACCTCGTCGTTGACTTCATTGCTCAAGTCGCCAACGAAGATATGGAAGTGGTTAGAAGTATCCTCCTTGCTGGTGCTGTTGGACTGGTACGCCCAGTTGACACGGATTTCCTGAGGCAATTAGAACTAGTTATGAATTACTACGAACAAAAGGAAACTTACAGACTGGTGGATCCGGCGACCATTCAGGGTTTGCATAGCCCTTTCGGCCGCACCTGGGTCATCGAACTCGACGAAACCGTAGTTGTGGCCCTTGGTGGTGAATTGCCCCTGGAGTAAGTAAAACAGTCAGCTACCAACATTTTATCAAGGATAGAAACAAGGGGTAGTGATCATCACGGATGACGGCTCCAGAGGCCATCACTAGTAACTCAGGGGGGAGCTGATATGCAGGGGGGGTGGGGGGTGCCTGTCAGAAGAACTTACATTCTTGTCAGGAATGATCTTCACGCTGACCACGTGGCCAGTGGTCTCAAAGATTTGCTTGAGGATGTCCTCAGTGACCCTCGGATCCAGCCCACCCACATATAGGGCTCTCTTGTTTGGTTCAGGAGCCGCTCGGCGGACATATCCACCAGCGCTTGTGGGGGACATCATGGCGACTCCGGACATAGGCGAGGTCATGGCCGTAGGAATCGGATTGGTATTCTGGGGAATTATCACCGGAGGGCGCGGGGGCGGGGGCATGTGGGACTGGTTGCCCTGGCCATTGCCCTGAGGAGCATCGTACTGTTGGGGTTGACCGACAGCGGGCTGAGGTGCGGGGGAAGAGAAGAGGGAGTTGAGACTTGAACGTTTTCAGCCATTATGATTGCTTTTGAAAAGATACGGATATATTATTCCAAAGGCGATCAGAGGAAGCGAGTGATGCGGAAGTTGGACGGGGTTAAATGTTAGATTGGGAGAGCCCAGTGTTAGGTGATCTGTCAAATTCAGAATTTGAGACAATGCAAAGCGTCGCTGAAAGCCACAATCGCAAATAAGACCGGGAAAATATACGTGGTATAGGAGGCCGCGGGGGACCAGGGTGGAGGAAGTCCAAAAAGAAAGACCCTAAGATGGGGGAAACAAAGAGCACCGGGTATAAACAGTGCTGATAGAAGAGACACCGAAACGGAACCTGGGTGGGGGGTTTGTTTGTTTGGTTTTTTTTTGAGGTTTTGGACTTTTTTTTTCGATCAAGCTCCGGTATAATAAAGGAGATGTTTTTGTGGCCTGACAAAGCTGCGGTCGGAGATTGAAATACAAAGCGTGTTGGGGGAGGAGGTAGAAAGCCCAACAAAAGGAGGCTGAGAAAGCTCAAAGAAAAACTAAAGCATGCAAGTCCCTTTGGGAGGGAAAGCCAAACAGGAAAGAAAAGAGAAAAGGAAAAAGGGACTAGGAAAGAGAAGAGGAAAGAGAAGAAGTGATAGAGAAGAAAAAAAGAACTGGAGAAGAGCAAAGTAAAGGGAGGAAGAAGTTAACCGCTAGGGGTGGGGGGGAGAGGACACTTTACCCCAATAGGTTTAGTCTGCCTTTCAACTTACATCCCAAATTCTTGAACTCTTCAACTCTTCTCTCTCTCTCTCTCTCCTTTCTACAACTTACTTATATCTTTGACTTGGAGATTTAAACAGATTAAACCGATTTTCAAACTATCTCATCCATTTCTCTTGTCAATCATGGCCAGCTATTCAACTAGTTATTCAAATCCGGACTCACTCACAGAGCTCTCAAGCATAATAGAGCGGACGGTAAGCGCTGGCTCTGGAACAACACTCTTGGCATACCCTCTGACAGCTTCTAGCTTATTGATACTGGTCGTTTGTTCCGCAAATCTGGCTCTATGCCATCGAGATCTCATCTACAACGATCCATTCCCTTGTATCATGATAGTTTCCAAAATGCCCTGGATAATCTATCAGAGCAAATTGTGAGTACTCAACAATCTCAAATAGATTAAATAGCTCTATATTTGCTTTTTTCCTTTTTTTTTTTCCAGTTTTCTTTTCTGACGCTCTGCAGTTCATCGCGAAAGCCTTTTTAGAAAGGGACTACGAGGCTCTCAAGGCCACTACTGCCGCTCCCCAGCCCATCGAAGATGTGGCAATGAGTGGTGTGAACCAACAGGTTGAACCTGACATTCAATCACCGCCGGTTGAACCTGACATTCAATCACCGCCGGTTGAGAAAGTCAAATTAGACCCGGAGCTTGAAGCTATGCCTAAAACAGAAGAAGCTGTTTCTGAAAACCAATTAGCTCCGGCAGAGATCAAGCCCGACACCCAATCGGGCGATGATGTAGTTGTCAAAAAAGAAGGCGACAATGTTGTTCCCGATCAGTCATTCCCTGGACCCAATGAAGACCTCACGTTTGATTCAGTTCTCAACGACGCTGGAGGCACAAATGACTTTGGTCTTAGCTTAGACTTCAATGATGATGACATGGGCAATCAAGCTTTCCTATCCGGGTCGAATTTCACAGCTTCTGGCGCTGCTGGTGGTGCGGACAGGTTAAACACGACTCAACCCCTGGGAAATACTTCGGATGTCCCTGCTGGTGGTGGTGCATTTGACATGGAACTACAGAAAACAGAGGGGGATGACGGCAATTTCCTACAGGGTAACTCCGGGGAGGATTTCATGGGGCCTGCTGAATCAAACTTCGACGATTTGTTCATGGACACTGATAACTTCGGAGAGAATGGTGGGGACTTCAATCAGCTGGAGGGGGACAGCCTGATGAATGTTAATGAGCTGGATGATAATTGGTTCAATTGATGAAAATGGAAGGACTTACACTGGTGGAATATATGCAGTCAGATAAAAGCAATGACCAGTGGGGGAATTGGGGGAATTGGGGGAAGGTGGGGGGAGCTGGGGGAAAAGGTATCCTATGATCTGCATGCGTTCGCATTTTGGCAGTGGTACTAAGCAGAGATCTAATCCATGAATGGCATATGCCCTGATTCTGTGACTGGAAGCATAAATATTATTGTGAATTTCACGAATCTTTTATAGGGTTAAGGCTCTTCCTGACCGGGTAGGTGCTGTGAAACATCAAATAATAAATACAGCATTTACTATTTAGCCAATCGCTTTGAAGTCTAGAAGTATGTTCAATAAAGAATTAATGCCTTTGGGCCTTTTAAGAAATAAGTTCTGACACCTGGCCAAGTACGGAGTAACTCCAAAGAAGATAGTTCCTAGACAGCTTCCACCAAAAAGCATGAACCCTTTCCTAGCTATGTTGTACACAGCTCGTTTGTGCGACAGGGTCATAGCGCCAACACATTTGAATCCCAACTATGTTTCTTCTGTAATTAGAAGATTCTCCTTATTAGTAGCTAGGAAAATACATATTTACTAGTAGTATGTTAGATTATTATAAGAGGTCCTTATTAGGTACGGAGTAGTAAATGTCGGGTAGTTTATTAGGTCCGGTGGCGTAAGTTAAGATCGGCGCTCGTGGAGAAGCAAATCAGGGCAGGAAAGTTCCGAAGACGATCACCCCAGAGACAACGAAAGCACGATAGCTTTCCCGAAATAGATCTACGATATATACGATATACGAGATATAGGAGAGTCTAGACATAAGGTGGCTGATGAGGTCACTGTCATAGCCCTGGAGGGAGATTATGACGTCACGCCAATAGTATGTAGTATAATAATCCGGATGTACGTACAATGTACGGAGAGTACAGCACATATAAACTAACTAGGTGATGGTGACGAACTAGAAGCTGATCACCATCTTTGTCGGGGGCTATCTTCCGACCATTCACATTTCACCTGAGCCGCGTGTACTTGCAGTGAACCTTGACAATCAAGCCTATCTGGAGTATCCAAGCCATAAAGAAGATGTAAGTCATAATAACTAGTTATATGAGAAGATGGAAAGGAACCGCAAGGTTTTAAGTCGCCCATTTTGTATAGTTTCCAACCATGGGGTCTGGTGTAAAGACCCCAAATGTATCAAATAAGGTCATTCAAAAGAGAGTACGCAATTCAAAGGTCCAATCCCCCGCATCTAAGCCTACCTAGGTAATCCAAGTAGACTCAGTCTACTAGATTGGGAAGGCCAAGATACCCAAGAACTGGGCGTTAGCACTGCCCTATGTTGTGAAGCCGTGAAGCCGTTTGTATAGGCCGTGAGATCCGAGGTTTTTGAAAACTCTAGACCTTAGTGGAATGTTTCTCCACAAATATTAGAGAATATTAGAGAAATGCCGAGCCAAACCCGTAAACCGTTGAGGGTAGAGGGTAGAGACGTATGGCTCGGGTCGCCGGATATGAGACCCCCTCAGGGCTCCTCTCTTTTTCCCCCGGCTTTCTCAATGGTGTTGTCATCGAGTTGATACCCTTTTTCTTACTTTTTTTTTTTTTTTTTTTACTTTTTTTACTTTTTTATGCTCTTTTTATTTCTTTCTTTCCCGTGGATCAGTGTTCCTTTTAGTTTAAGTAGCTCGCCTTCTTAACTATATTCACGGATCCTAATCACCTGCGACGCCACATTACGCCTTGTCAGTGGAGTCACAAATAATAGAGATCAAGAAAGAAAAAGGAAAAAGGGAAAAGGGGACCACAATTCCGAGTCTAATAGCCAATCCTACACGTCCGAAATAGAGATCTGCAAGATGATCAGAGTGGAGGACTGCTTATGAAGTCAAGCACCCCCGAGAATTCCATCTTCCCTAAGAATCAGTCTCCTTGCTTGAAGGGATTCAAGGGATCAGGAAAAAGAAAAAAAAAAAAAAGGCAAACATTGTCTCACAACATTAAAGATCGAAGGTATGTTGAGTCTGTCCCACACATTCCCTGCACTTTGTATTCCTTGTCTTGTTAGAAGGTCATTCTCGTCTTTGCCCAATTTGGCGACATAAACATATCCAAGGGATTATACACACATCACACAATTTGGGAACTCTCTCCGGGATGCTCAGCAGACCAGTCTTAACACAATGATGGGTGCTAATATTCTCCCTCTGCCGGCGCAGTTATCTTCGCGGTCGGCCTATAGCAACCCCACCCCGCACTCGGACTTTACAGGGCCTCCGTCCCTAGGAGTATCAATCTCCAATCTCATCACACGGTCGGCTCGTCGCCACACAGTGTGTATCGAAAATCAGAACCCTAAACGGAGTCGTCGGGACTCAATCTTCAAAAAGCTGGCGGGTCCACGTGAAAACGCAAAGCGATTCCTTCGCTTGCGGTCGTCTGGAGTTCAGGCGCCTTTACAACGTCCTTCCCGTGGTGTACGACCTGTTTCGGAGATTATATTGTCGCCGATATCGGTTGACTTGGAGGACGAGATGCGATCGGATTCGTCCTCCACCGAGGTGCTGCCTCGCCCAGTATCTGAACATCATACTCTGACTACCGATTCTATCACTCCATTTACTCCCTTACGAAATGAGAAGATTGTAGCCACTGGTAGTGGCATTTCCGTCGGTATTGCCCTCACAGAACCCGTTCTTTACTTGCAGGGCTATGACCAGCAAGACCCAAGCAGTAAAAAGTCCGCAATTCTGCGGGGACAGATGCATTTGAAGGTCACTAAATGCGTCAAGATCAAGAAGATCTCGGTTTGCTTCCGTGGCCATGCCCAGACCGATTGGCCAGATGGTATGAATCTGCTGCATAACATTATACCTCAACAAGAGCTGACATTGTTCAGGTATCCCCCCTAAGAAGATCCATTTCCATGACAAGAAGGATCTCTTCACACACGGTGTGGTTTATTTCAATCACGGTGACACCGCGCTTATGCAAAATGACTATGGCGCGCATTACTACCAGCATGCCAAGCCGATATCATCCGTGCCGGGAAAGGAGGGAGTGACGATGACAACTCGAGAACTATTCTCCAATCGCAATTCTTCCGCCACACTCACCGTACCAACCTCCCGAGAAGCTAAACGTCTTTCGCTGCAGTCCAACCGCGGGCATTCGCGCAGCTTCAGCAAGAATGAACCTCCGACTTCCCAACCCCAGCCCCAGCGAAATTACCGCATGTTCCCCGTAGGCGATTATTTATACAGCTTCGAGTTCCCAATTGATGGATCGTTACCAGAGACGATCAAAACGGATTTGGGATCTGTGAAATATGACCTTGAAGCAATGGTGGAACGGTCAGGCGCATTCCGACCCAATCTCCTAGGCGCCATGGAAGTCCCCGTGATTCGTACTCCGGCTGAGGGTTCATTGGAGCAAGTTGAGCCCATCGCGATTTCACGGAACTGGGAAGACCAGCTTCACTACGACATCGTGATCTCGGGGAAGTCTTTCCCGCTGGGGTCGCAGATACCGATTGCCTTCAAGTTGACCCCTCTAGCGAAAGTAGAGTGCCACCGAATCAAGGTCTTTGTGACGGAGAATATCCAGCATTGGACAGCGGATAAGAGTGTGCACAGGTTGCAGCCAGCGAAGAAGGTGTTGCTTTTCGAAAAACGAGCAGACTCGTCCAGTGTGAGCACGTATCCCGGCAGCTCCATGCGTGTCACCGCAGGCGGCGGCATCGACTGGGACCACCGCGCTGCTGCCGCAAGGGGGCAGGAGATTGTGGATCGGAATCGGACGAATCTGCTAGGAAACCTGTCCAATGATTCTGGTGTCGGTCCAACTGAGATGGAATTCAACGTGCAACTGCCAAGTTGCCACGAAATGAAGGGCCGGGACGAGGGTCAGCGGCTGCATTTCGATACCACATACGAGAACATTCAGATCAACCACTGGATCAAAGTATGTCAATCATCGACCCTCTTTCTTGACATAATGATACTAACCGATCCACGCAGATTGTCCTTCGTCTATCCAAGGTCGACGAAAGAGACCCCACGAAACGAAGACACTTTGAAATCTCCATTGACTCGCCATTCCACATCCTCTCCTGCAAGGCCACCCAGGCCAATATCTATCTACCCGCCTACACAACCCCAGCCGAAGAACCCCTCCCCCCAGCCCAGGAATTCGAATGCGGATGTCCCGGTGCACCCCTCGCACTCCGAGAGCAGATAATCACCCCAGCGATGCCCGATCGTGAAGACAGCAACCCTGCACTGGGACCCGTGGCCCGCCGCAGCTCAACTGGCCACACCTTCTCCCGCAGCTTCACAAACGACTCCGGCGGCCTCGCCCGGCCCCCACAAGCACACCTAGCAACACCACCAAACGACCGCAACACACCCACTCCACCTCGTCCAATGCATCTGCTCCGTGCGCCGTCCTATGCGCCCCCCGCTTTCGAGGACGTCCCTCCCGCCCCACCGCTTGTCACCCCACCTCCAGAATATAATACCATTGTCGGGGACGACCGAGAGGCCGTTCTCGAGGATTACTTCTCCCGTTTATCGTTCTATGAAGAGAACGAGGACGATGACCGCGGTCGTGGTCGCGTCGATGTACCCCTCACGCCGGGTGGACGCGTCAACCGCAGCATGGACGTACCTCGCGAATGGGTGCGACTCGAGGACTATTTCCAGTAATATCGTCCCTCCTTGATTTTTCTTTCGAAAAAGAAAGACAGCTATTACGAGGTCTGAATCATGAATTTACGCTATTGTTCATATCGGGATTGGTGTCGGGCATATGTTTTTCGGCGATGCTTTCTGTGCGTTAAATCTGGGTCTGAATCTGAGTCTGGCTCTATCTCTATCTCTATTTCTTCTTATTCTTTTTCTTTTCTTTGGGGTTGTATTTGGAATTACCTTCTTTCCGTTATACGGTACTTTATTTATGATTAATGCAGGCCCGGCTATACTTTTTTGGTTGTTGATACTGGACTTGGTTTTTTCTACGTCGGGGACAAAAGGCGAAATGGGTCATTTACTCAGATATCTTATATATGGATACATTTGGTAGACTGAACTATCATCATCAAGTACTAGAACTGTGCAGAAATACCCTACAACTATAGAGTACAACATAGTTACTAACTAGTTAGTATCCTAAACACACACATCCAGTGCTGGCCCTGGAGATAAGAATTGATGTGTCAGCGATAAGGGCAACCAAGGTTGGGAGGTTGGAAGCGCATCGAACTGCCTTCCCCGGTTTAGCTCTCCCCGCATCCCCGAAGTCGTTTGGTTCTCGAACTGTCACGGCTTTTTTTTTTCTTTCTCTCCTTCAATTACTTGCAGTGCTTGTCCCAGATTGTCACCCCCAAGTACTACAACATACAGAGCTAGGTTCTACAGGGTCCCTTGGCGTACTTTCAGGACTTTTGAGACGGACTACGCCGATTAGCTCAGGCTTAGTGGCATAGGTGAGTTAGCATATATACTATAGACGGGCTAGAACTATGGAAAGAACAATTCTGACTACTTTTAGTGAGCAAAAAGTGGCTTTGGTCCATCCTCAACAACTACATTCTCGAAGTCTCCGACATAGCGGGACGTAGAGTGGCTTGTTGTTGCAATATCTGATCCTTGTACCTGGAAATTTACCCGACATACAGACTCCGCAAGCTTTCATTATGGCTGTTGAGGTCGTACCTCTTACCGAGGCAGATATCCCCGGTGCTATTGAAGTGATTCAGCAGGCATTTGCAGACGATCCCTACTTCAAGTGGGTCTTCGATTCATCCAAGGTACGTTACGTGTTGAGAAACAAATACCCCAAAAAAGAAACAAGCTACCCATCTTCTCTTACTCGCCAAGCTAACATACATCTCTCTCGTGACGCGGTCAACTTGACCGGCAGTTACGTCTCCTGGGGGATAATTCCACGTATAGTTCAACAAGCAAAGAAATTATGATTCCCTCGCAGCACGTTGCCATTGGGGAATCAAGAATGCACTATTCCACGTCGCAAAAGAAACCCAAGACCCCGACTCCAAATCCCACAGCACCCCATTAACCTCCACCCCAATCCTCGGCGTCTCCTGCTGGCTAGCGCCCCACCCGCCCACGCAACCAGAGAGCTGGTACTCGTGGTTCCAATCATGGACCCTGTCCTTCAACCAGATGTTCAACAACATCCGCTACTTTGGCCGCGGCGGGCTACGCACGAACAGGTACTGGATCTGGAAACAGCGGCAGGCTGAAGCACAGGCTGCTATCTGGGATGATCCGCGCGGGTACTATTTCTGTAATATCGTTGCCATTAGCCCTGAGGCTCAGGGAAAGGGTATTGGGAAGTTGTTGTTTGAGGCTATTACGAAAAGGGCAGATGATGAGGGGGTCAAGTGTTATCTCGAGAGCTCGAAGAGTGTGCCCAATGTGGCGATCTATGAGCGCATGGGCTTTCACATGAGTAAGGAGATGGAGTGTCGGGATGGGATGGATGCTTGCATGGTATGTATATTGTACCTGTTTTGTAGTGTTTGGTCTTGGGGCTGGGATTTGTTTGGGTTGTTGCTGACTTTGATTGTTGGTAGTTGTACTGCATGGTCCGGGATCCGAGGAAAGAATGATCCTGTTGCTTTTGCTTCTATGACTTTGTTTGGATGCTTGCGGCATATTATGGTTTTGGCCCAGAGCCGAATTACCAGTATCCGTCCGCAATGCGATTCGAACAAAGACAAACCGATGTCCTTAATTTAAGAGTTTCATATATCTAGCAACGAACTAAATCTTTCCTGGTAATTCTAAATCCGGTCCCGTTGTAAACCAGCCCCAACAATCCGGCCCACCCATCTCTGAATCCACAAACGGGCAAGATAGTTCAAATCTGATCGAATCTAATATTTCGCAGTAATGCGGTGCTATAACTAGTGACCTGCAGGATACGCATCCGCACTAGTCCATCCGTTTGCAACGATCTGTCCTGGGGAATGATCCATCAACCTTTCAATCAGATCATTCCCAACGGCTCGGATACTTGCATATTGATCTGTTTATGTTGCTGCACCTAGACTAGAGGGGCAGTAGTCTCTGAATTCATATTTTAAGCTTATCCAGTCATATTCATTCTAATATGCTGAAGTCCTAACGGCCTGGTTTCCCGGGAAATATCTGATCATCCCGGATTCTGGATGGTGTTTCAGATCTAGTCTGGTTTCAACATTGCACAGGCTGGTGGGGACTCTTGCTTGTTGGAAATCCCCTTGTTGTGTCAAGGCTCGTGCGCTGATCGAGGACATATATATCTTACATTTGGAAGGGATCTCTAGTTAAAGGATTCCAGGACGACCGCTTTTGATTAACTCGGATAAAGTCATTATCTTGGCTATTTGTTTGAGCTGTGCGTACTCCTCCTTTGGCATACCTAGACACTGGGTAAACTGACTTCCCTTCTTCAGTGCGCATTGCTTTGATCATTACCATGTTTATCTTTCTGCTACGAAAGCTATGGACCCGACGACGAAGATCAGACACGGAGAAATCTTCCACTTCCTCAACGACCTCCCAAGAGCTTAAATTTCAAGAGACCGGACCACATATACCTGATATAATCATGACTACCACACCATATCACGACGAAACAGACCAGATCGTCAATCAATTAGCCACCCTTGCAGCTACCGTGAGCAACACATCAAGCAACAGCGCCCCATCATCGACTGCTGCCTCCATAGCAGAGCCCCAACCGGCAGCACCCAAACCTAAACTAGAACAACCAGAAGAAGAAGAAGAAACATTCTACCATCTTCGCAGTCTGATAACAGTCTCCTGCTTGCCACAGCATACATCAGGCCATACACAAACCCCCTCAACCTCAACACTAAGCTCTAAATCAGGGAAACGCAAAAGTCAAATCTTTGATCGGAAGAGAGCCTCATCAATTTTGAGTTTACATCTTGGTGATCTGCCGAGCTTGCCGTTTTCCTCGAAAGGGAAAGTCAAAGGGAAAGTCTCGCGCAAGCCTTGTCCGAGATACAGTCCTCTTCCTCCGCCATTTGTGCAGAAGAAGCTTGCTATTCGGCCTGAGGTGCGTTTCTAGGGGCTCGGAATTGACAAAAGGGTGGATTTGATTGCGCTGTTTTGTGTGAAGGTTGGAATTTTTTTTTATTCGTGCTCCTACTTTATGATATCCAAGGTGGTCTATCGTCTACCATACCTACCGTATGTATGTACTGCAATTGGCCTGTTTGGTTTAATGTTGTTATCAATCCCTGGTTATATATGGGAAATTTGTCTGTATGTGACCTATATTGTACCTCGGTATCCATGATGATCTACAGCGTAGGAGTATTTATGCAACTTACGGTGTAGTGCGCCCTATAACCTTTGCGATCTATAGTATAGTTTAGCCACATATATTCTGTACTCTACTCCCTATCCATTTACTGTGGTTTACCAAATACATGTGTCATCTCTAAGCGGGTCATCTGCAGGTCATCCCGCCGCTAAGCTTAGGAACTTGTTCGCCCACGCTAGTTAACCAACACATGAGACACATGACATGTCCACCCACGCCTTAAACCCCCTGCATGAAAGTGAAGCCGAACTCCACTCTCGCGGAGCTAACTCGGGGAAAGGGAACAGATCGTCAGGGTGTGAAAGCTAACGGCTCGGGGTTCATTTCCGAGCAATGACATCCCGGTATTTACCTTGAGTCATGGGATCTCTTTTTATATTAAAGTTGACACAGTGGATAGGTGTAGGAGATAGTAATCCCTAATAAAACATCCATGGATAGGTAGTTGTATCCGTAACAACGTGATTAGTCGCTTAGAAAGTCTGTCGAATAGGAATCATTCCAGCTGTAGCCTTGTTTATATATCCTCCGGGACTTAGGTACCTACATACATATGCAGTTAGTTGACTTGTGCAAACCGTTCACTTTGCCGAACGTGAAATGTGGGGCGGAAATATGACCTTGAAGTTCACATCATGTACGGAGTATGTACAACATGCGTGATGTCGATCAGTTCTAATATGATCAATAATCTACAAACTGCAGAGTGTCTCCTGGTTTATATGTGTGATTTACGGATCAGCTTTCGTGGCACAGCGACACGGGGGGCTGGGATCCTGTCGAAGACCCTCCACCAGCCCAGGAGCCGGATGTGGTCCTGGACCTTCCGCGGCCTCGAGAGCTGCTATCGATTGCTCAGTGGATAGGGGAGTATTACCACTGGTCGGATCTGAAGTCGCTACACATTGTCGAACAACTGGAGCTGAGGCCGCTGGCGGATGCAACCTCCTTGGATCGTACGTACCTCAGGGGAATCCGCACGATGTTACCTGTGCTAACGGGGCAATGATAGATATCTGGCCATCAGAGTTAGTCCCGCCAGATGTGGTTCCTCCTGGTCCGTCTCTTTCTAAACGGGTTCTCTCCAGCATCCGGAACTGTCAGTGACTCCGTCCTATCCATCGCATCTGCTAATCGCCCTAGCAGACATTCGATCTCCTAAGTCTACCGTCAAGCCGCCAGACTATATGGTCGGCTACACTATAACAGGCGACCAGCCGCCTGATACAAAAGAGGCGTCAACACCATCCTCCAGCAGGACCACACTGACTGAGCCACCACCACCAGTCCCAGCAGACATCGACCGTGCGATTGACGATCTGCTCGATCTCACCCAGGAACCCACCCCCGGACCCCTTCAGAAGAGAGAAAAGCCTATGGTCAACATTCAACTCATTTCCCAGTTCCGTTGGAGATTGCAGCAGAGACTTGAAGAGGAACCCTATAGGCTTGGTCCCTTTATGTTCTCCAGCCAGGTCCTGCGTGTTGCATATGCGGCGTGTCAGCACCTTAACTGGGTGCTATTTAACCTATCACCTCATATCATTACAGCCGCTATAAGATCAGATGAGTTTCGGGCTGCGTCTGCACTGAGTATCTGTGTTGACCAGCCCCAATTCGCAGAGTCGGGCCTCGGTGATCTTGCAGCAGCCCTGGCGCAGTTGACATCCCTTAAACAAGTCTGCCTTGTCCATCGGCCGGACCATATGAGCGACGATATATCAGCTCGTTTCCACTCACATATACTAAAACAATGGGAGAGTGACTCCAACCACACCATGAAGTCGAAAACCATCTATTCGACCTCCGCCTTCCTAACTGGTCTACGCAGTCGTGAATATCTTCTTTCGTCCCCGACGATTAGTTCCAGTCACACCTCCTCCACGCCCACGGTCTTTCCTACGGGGTCCACTGGGTCGTGCATGGACTTCCAGTCGCAGGTGGAGACAGGATTCATGATTGATCGCCGACCATTTGATGACACCAACCTTGGCGCTCGGGGGCTTTCTATCAGATCGCACCAACTCCATGGCTCAAATCCTATTTATGGGGCCAACAATTCCCATATAGAAATTCCTTCTAAGCTGCCAGTGCCAGAGGGCAATTGATGCCCCACCCTCTACTAGTAGTATCTCAGACCGAAGAGGGACTCGGATGAGCTTAGGTATGTGAACTATCTACAGGGTACACAAAGCTGCCCTTAATGCTTGTATTGAAACAGATGGCTACAGAGGATGTTGTATACAGCGGAAGGTCGACAGGCGCGAACCAAGAAATATCCCGACAGCATAGCCTCTCTCATTCGCGTCTCCTCTGTTTTCCAGACCAAGAGCTGGCCTTATGGCGTAATTTGGTTGAATAGTGGAGTTGAAGTGATGACATATTTCGGCCTAGGAAGTGAGCAACAATCACTGCCTGGCACCTCAATAGCATACTATCAATCAGATTAGATAGGGATTCCTCCGGTACAGTATCCTAAGCCTCCTAAACCACACCACGAAGCTTCTATAAAGGAAAGTGCTGATCCCTATACTTTCTCTCAATATAATACTTCATCTAGTACTATGCCTCCTTATAGGGTTTAAATAAGGTAAAAAGGTAGGCTGTTCTATCACAATAACCCTAAGCTCCTCGAAGAAATCAAGAGTCTCTTTAGTAGGAATACTTATCGTATATAACAATCGGATCTTACTCCCTTCTTAGGCGGAAGAAGCCTTCTATCACAATACGTATGATATACGATTCACTGTATAGTTATAGGGACTTCTAAGGTAAATTTGAAGTGAATTTGAAGTGAATTTGTATTGATGCAGTGAACAGCTTGCTGCTCTTGGCAAATCACACTTATTTTACCATTTGCTCCTGACAGTAAGCTTTTGGTATCACCTGGGCAAGTCATATCAGTTCCTCCCGTTCAACACTATTTAATAATGTATTAGGCTCGCTTCAGCCGTAGTAAGAAGGGGATAATAGACCATTCTCATCTCGTTCTCCTATCCGAACACGGAATATTCCGTCGAAAGTACAATTGTCACTGCAATTCTTAGTAATAAAAGAGATAAAGTGGGCGCCGAGCGGCGGAAATAAAAGAATCTTCGAGGGCGGACAAGATGGAATGACGCACAAGCCTGGACGGTAGTTAATTCTTGGCAGGGGTTTTACGACGCTGGGCCAAGTACCTTCCTTGGCAGAGGTTCTTTTATTCAGACACCGCTAAAACTCCTGCGCGCGCCAGACCATCTCAGCAAATTTCTTCATGATGTGGTCGTCAAATCTTATGTCAGTTTCTCTCGCGAGACTTGCCGGACGGAGAAAGACATCGGAGAAGCTAAGAACGAGGGGGTGACCCCGGGCGTAGACGTGCTTATTCTCGCCTTTGCGGACCTCAATCTGTTGCTGGCGTTTCACCCGGTCACCAACTAGCTTCCATGACTCCAGAGCGATTCTGAAGTCGCGACTGAAGGCTTGCTGATTAATATTGGCAAAGAGCACCCATTCACTAGCATCGAATTCCTCTTCCTGGTGACGTAATTCCATCTCCAAAGTGTCCAGGAACTGTCTTACTCCCTTGTATGGATATCTTCTAATCGGTGGTCCTAGGTCACCAAGAAAGCTACCCCCGAGGTCTCGGTATCAATGTCAAGATCTGTGTATAACATGATGACCAGGGTTGCACCAAAGCTGCTTCTCATGCTAGTAGGAAAATGCGGTTTACCAACCTCGTGTACCTTTCCTAGAATCGAGGTAGAGAAAGGGTTAAAAGGTCATCAAAGTCCAACCGTGCGTCAAGATGTAAGCTCTTGTGGTCAACGGCGTCTCGAGCGCGATTAGGAGCTAAAAACGCCTACTAACTATATAACTAGGTAACATTAGTTATTCTACACGTGACTGAACTGGGCATGATCACTGATCTGCCCGGCCCGTACTGACATCTACTCAGTGAGCCTAAGCTTGAGCGCCCTTATAAAAGCGGCGGCAGATCAAATAAGGAAAGCCCCATGAAAACCCCGGCACGTAGCTATAGGTGCATAATGTATATGTATGTGGAACGGACTGAGCACACTTCCACCTCATATTCACGGTTTACCCTGATACCCAATTTTACCATTCTATTGTGGATTGTAGTTTAGGAATTAGTTTGTTTCAAATAATCGCAATTGGGCGATCCATGGAACCATATATCCTAATGAGGCCTTCCGTCGCTATTCCACTGGTTCAGCTATACGGGCGCGTGGGCCGTCGGTCCCTCTAATATTCTAGGGCTGTTTCGGAAGGCCATCTATCAGCCGTGGATCCACCATCTCGGGTTCTTCGGGTACCAAAGCCCCAACTTCTTATGTATCCATGTATGTATGTTGTATGTATTTCCCAGGAGAAGGAGCCAATGGCCTCCTGGGTTCTATAGGACCTGGAGTCTAGTTTATTGCATAAATTTTCACTCTATTTTATATTTGACCGTTGCCGTCCCTAAATCCCTTGTAGAAGTTACACGTGGCATTCGTGGAGTTGTATATATTTCAAATGGAAATATAAGGAGAAGTTGCTGGGTAAAAAGGGTAAGGTAAAATTTACGCATAGATGAAAAGAGTAAGCTAACTTGGGCACAGAACTCAAATAGCTAGAACGAGACTCTATTCCTTGCAAGGGGAGAGGGGTGTGCACTATATCCAATCTCTACTGCTTCAATCGGCGACACCGGAGCAGAGATTGCGTGGTCTTCGCTGTGTTGGGAATCCATTGTTCCGTAAATTATACCCTGTCTTCCTCAACAGAAGACAAAAAAATGGATTCCAATCCTTCATATCTCCGTACGTCCTATCATAAAAAAGCACGGACTCGATCGGGGAGAATATCCAACCGTTGTGAGCGGACCAGCCGAAGCTGCGCGAGATATTCCGCAAGTAGGTGATGACCCTGCTACGGGACCTACATGAGTCCTGCATTCGATGCCTCATTGTAGGACAAGAGGTTCCTAAAATGCCGCTCACTCTTTTGTTTTCATAGGGTATTTTTATTTCCATTTTGGGCCGGTTTTCTTTCTGCGTTGTGTCGGCGCAACCCGCTTTTTTTTTCTCCCATGGCCTAGACATGGCGGGATGTGATGGCAGAGACAACAACCACGTTGCGCATGTGGCCTCTGGGGAGCTAGACTGGAGGGATTGGATTGCGTATCTGTAAGAAGTTGGGTCCAAACGTTGTTGAGAACCAGTCAGCTAAGTCGAAGGAATCATAACTATCCGTTCCATGTGCATGAGTATTGTACAAGCATGTGATTTTGAAACTATGTCGAAAATTAGGTGAGTTATTGTACAATATATATGTATATATATAAGATTTTTTTTTTACCTCGTCCTTTAGAAACAAAGAGCTCCCAGGTTATAACGAGATGAAGCAAACCAGATAGATCGAGAAGTGAACCCTAGGGCAAAAGCTCGGAATTGAGCGAGAAGTCATAAGGTTCACTCGTCTAAGTCTCATATATGCAAACCACCAAACGCCCAAACAAGGCACCAGACGCTAGGAACAATAGGAACCCCCAAAAAAAATTATACAATGAGACTGAAAAACATAAGAAAACGAAAACGAAAACAACCGCTTGCAAAATAAACATTAAGACAAAGCAGGCAATAATCCGAAGTAGCGGAAAACGCGTCACAACGCAAAGTTTAAACGGTCACGGTTTGCCCCACAAATTCAAATAAAAGAAGCAGAATTTTAGAAATTTGTCGATCATAGTCACGTAAAAAATGGTGTTGAAATGGTGTGAAATGTTTTTTTCATTTTTTTTTTTTCAGAGAGCCGCGTTTCTCGGTGGAGTCTCTCCCCGAATAGTTCCTGAATGGGGTCGTCCACGCCAAGAACCACAGACAGGAGAAAGCGGGATGGGGAAACTTTAGAAAATGCCGTTGACCGAGTTTCAGATGTGGAAATTTTGCTTTTGAGTACCCCGGGGGACCAAAGTATCGGGGGAAAGGAAGATAGGTGATTATCGGGTAGACGAGCATAGGATACATTTGCCCACTACCACAATGAAGCGGTCGTGTGGGCTGTCGTTGCAAGTGCTATTGTCTTTTGTTCCCTCCATTTCGGTGCGGAGGAAATGAGCGGCGGGATTGGAACAAGTGGAATATATGTAAAAGTTTTTGAAAAAGTTGCACATTTCGATCCCATCGGGGGTTTGTGAAATTGGCTGCGATAGCGAGAAGGAAGTATAACCAGTGATAAAATTTCAACTGTATGACAAAGATTGGAGTGTGATGGATGAGATATAGATATTCAGTAAGGAATTAAGAAAATATATGTTTGTAGATGGAGGCTCGACCAGATATTTAAGAGTAGTTTACTTTTGGAGAGAGTGGGTGTCATGATGTCTAATGGCATGGGAATAGATAAAAACAAAATAAAATAAAAAAGATAAATAGACAAATAGATTAAACATAAAAGATTAAACATAAAAATTTTTAAAATTCAAATAAATTAAACCAAATTCAAGAAGAAATTTACTTATTTACTTCCATAAGGATGGGTAAGGTAAAGATGCAGGATAACGTTAGTTACCTATGTTGTAGGTACAGTACTGCACGGCATCCTCCCCACCATCCCCACTTCCTTTTCCCCCTAAAAAAAAAAAACCCTTGTCAAAAGAAAGCGGGTCCTGCATCAAGGCTTTAATTTTCTATGACCGTTGAGAGGCATTTGTTTTAGGGTTTTTTTCTTCTTAATATTTTTATTCCAAATCATTTTATTTTATATATATATTAATTGTTTGACAAAAGATTTCGGGACGGGCATCACAAAACATCGGGTAGATGGGAGATCGACACGGTTCCTCGCAGCCGTTGATGCTTCTTAAATTCACACGTGGCGCTAGTCGGGATCTTCATGCATAAGGCAAATACCTTCGGCAGTCTCTTGAATTTCGTGTGAGAACTTAAGTAAGTCAAATTGTCACCTTGGCACTGCTTGGTCTCTTTTTCTTTTTCTTTTCTTTTCTTTTCCCCAAGAGTCAGGCGAACACCGAGGATTTCTCTTGTTGGTAGAGAGTCTGTGGCGATGGTGGTAACATTGTGCAAGATTGGGCCCGTTAGAAAACCGGAGGAAGGACGTGTTGGGCAGTCGGAGCCGGTGACAGATCCAATAATCAATCCGAAGCATTTTCCTTTATTTCTTTATTTCTTTATTAATTTATTTTTTCCTTAATGAGGAAAATAGGAGCTTCATTTTTGAGCCTCGGTGCCACATAACAACCTTGACGGATAACTCCGACTAAGTCAAGACCTACACAGATTGGAAGGTTATAGTATAATGTATATAATTTATGATCCTAAAGTAAAAAATACCATTATTCGAGAATCACACTATGAGTCGAGTACACGACTATTATGCATAGAACGAAAACTTGGCAGAGGAAGACTACAAATTGTTCTAGGCCACAGATTAACAAATTAGGGTCGTTCAAGGTAGTAGCGTTGATGGCAGTAGACTAAAAGATCGGAGAGCTTGTCTCCGATCTGTGCTCCACGGAAAAAGACTTCCGTCGTACTTGTGTCAACTCTATACTGCCAATCGAAGAGTCAAAAGAAAAAAAAAAGGGGGGTTTATACAGGGTTGGAGGTTTTTAGATTTGACTTCAGGGTCGAAGACCCCGAAAGCCATGCCCCATAGGTGAAACATGATGCAATGGACACCTTTTATTTTTACCCCTTTCGAATGTTTGGAAGCCGATCACCAGGCAATCTACATTATAAACACTCAATGTTATCTGTCCGTGGCAAAACGGGCCAGATCTACGGGCAGTAGATTGTATGCCAGGAGGCCCTGGATTTGGTAAACCCCGATCGTAAAGCAGGTGATAGCACGACAATGCCCCAGTTGCAGGGTCTTGTGGAGACAAGAGGTCAGTCCACATACAAAAGTCTAACTCAATTGTCAATGGGCGATACGTCCCTGGTACAATATATACAACTGGGATCGGAGATACTTAGGGTAGCCGGGTTTACTCTGTACAGAAGCAATGGAAACAAATGAATTGCAGCCTAAGATAACTAAAACTAACCTTCGCTAGCCCCCAAAACCTTTAGACTACAGTCCAATAATAATGGTCAGCATGGCACCATATGGGGCATGATCCTTGTCTTCATCGCATCTCAAGTCGAGTTGTGGAGACCGAAAAGGCAGGCGTAATACCCTGCCGCAGTATCCGGTATAGTATCCGGTATAGCCTCAACGATGTCTAGTCATATGTTTTCTAAATTGGGTTTGAACAGTGAAATGGTATGTTGCCTAGATGTGCTTTGACCCCTTAATAATGTATTTCACTACCAAGCTGCGCACCATCCATAGTAAATGCGATAAATTACAACTTGATATTTCAACAGCGATAGCCTATTGGGGCTTTTCCTTATAGGTTAATGCTTTTTAGGTGGTACCTCGCCTTGTAAGGAAAATGTTTATGATTGCGATATATACTTTTAGCTTTTAGCTTTATAATTTTTGGTAATTTTCAAATTCAAACCGATGATCATATGGCTTTTTAC